TCAGGTGCGTCATTCCAGATGTGACGGCAGATATTTCCGATTCAAAGCAGGTTAGCACACCGCAGTGGTGCTGGCACAGTCTGTTCAGGGGCGTTCTTCTGGTCACTCCGCGGAAATGTCGTATGTATGCAACCGCCCTGCTGATGCTTAATCGCCGTCACGGACCGAACTAAGGGATCAATTCGTTGTTTGACCAGGTAGGCTCAGTTGGAGCGTATTAACGGAAAATGGGAGTATTGAAGTTAGTCCTGAAATAGAATAGGCACTTTGGGTAAATCCTACCCCCGACGAATCAGCGTGGCTCACTTTGTCCCCTCGTACAAAAGAGAGAACTGGTGGGTTTGCGTAACAGGTCCTAGGTGATAGTGGGATAGCAAAATTTCAGATCCTTAACACAGTACATGCGCTTCCACACACCTGCGTTCAGCCATACTACTGGCAATCTGACTGGGAGCTTTCGAGCGCTGGGACATTGTAAATCCTTTGAGAGGGATTATCGCCAATGGCCAGTTTAGATGGGTCACCAAACTTGGAACAGGCCTTGTACATCAAAGTTCTATCGTTCCTGATAAAGAACACTGAAGGGTCGAGGAAGCAGACATGGATAATAGTTCTCGGAAATATCAAACAGGTAACATCATGAAATTGGATTCCTGGAAAATAGTGAGTATACATGACGACAATGTTGCTGCAACTTCCTCTGCATAGGTGCATTGTTGGCAAAAATTACTTGCTTCCAACAGCAGAAGAAAAGGAGGGTGTTCTGTACGGCAATGAACCCTGCGGTCCAAAACGGCTCCGCGGAAGCAGCTTGTAGGAAGGAGGCTTCCAATCCGACGACTTCGGGATTGTCGCGTGGCCTTGAATCAAAGAAGGCCAGCGAAATGAGAACGAATTGACTGGCATAGTATGCCGTATAGGTATACAGTGGCATATAGTGGCATCATGGAGTGGATAGTCCCCCACCAATGAGCGTCCCCCGATCAGTAAGGCTCCTCCTGCCATTATTCACCGTGACGTGAGGCTTTCCCCAGCACTGAATGGCATAAAGCAAACGTAAAGGCACGAACTTTGCAATTTATCACGCTTTAAGCTTTATGTAAGTGAGTAATTATATGATAGTCTGAGTTTGGAAGATTGGGGCCCGCCGAGGTTGCATGACACCAACAGTATGTTACTATTAACAGTGGGGGAGATCCGATCGGATGAGCCCGGGTAGTGCAATCGATAGCGCTGCTGTGCATGTCGGATATAGTTTCAGCAGAGCCTGCACGCGAGCGTTGAACATTTAGCGTTCAGCGTTCAAATCCTGCAGCGAACGATGCTGGTTTAGGTAAGTTTTCAATACCATAAGATGATGCTGTCACATACTGCAAAACACTTTAGGCCAACCCTGAACGGAGTTTTACAAACATATGCTCGCAGGCAGCTCGCCCTGCGTTGACCTAGCATATAGGTGAGGTAGAATGATGTCGGAGTCACGGCAACTTGAACCGAGAAGATGATGGAGGGCTGTGAGTAAAAACAACTTCTTTGTAAATCGCAAGCTTCAAACCTTCATACACATGTCTGATCCAGCGTGGTGACGCGATTTGAATCCGCGTGGCCAGAACTTATGTACTTGCCAAGGGTGTTGACAACTTGACTCCTGAAGCCAGTGCGGCAACAACGTGACCGGCGGTCACGTGACCCGCCCAGTATGCGGTGCTCACTCACGATCGAGACCAAGTCCGAACTTAACTGAGAGAGGGACTCTCAAAGGATCATAACATCCGAAATATAGCTGTGTCACATCATGCCTACAAACCCGCTCTTGCCAAAATCTATAGCAGGTGTTTCTAGGGAACCTGAACCTAAAATTCGTGGTGCAAACAGGTCCACGAAAGTCGCCGGCAAACTTAAGGTCCTACCGGACCAACCGACATCGTCTACCCAAGGCAAAATTTTGCCACGTCCAGATGCTGAGGAAAGTCTGGGTACAACAGGAGACACGGATGACGGGGATGATGAGGATGAGGACGAGTCAGATGACGACGAAGACGAAGACGTCGAAGTACGGCTACGTCAAATCTCCCAGATTCCGCAGGGAACGGCACGAAGAGATGCACTGAGGCTGACAAAGAAAAAGGCGAAGTCACTACCTCGCGTAACGGCATATGCGACGGCAAGGTAGCTCTTTGTTGGCTTCTTCCTTGACTATGTAACTGACAGGCATTATGTCGATTTAGTTCCTATCGTCTGCATGAACTTTCGAAGTTTTTCAATGCCCGGGGGGCATCCTATCTTGCAGACCCCAAGATTATTGACGAAGTTTTGTATACTCCTTACGCGTATGAACCCCAAGTCAACCAAGAAGCAAATGCCAAATCTCTGCCAGCGAGTGGGGATTTGTTAGGGATCCCGGAAATAAATCCCCTGATCTCTGAAGCGGAAGACAATGGATTCCCCTCTCATCGCAAGAAGATTAGCAAATTTCACACTGTTCCAACCGAGGCCGAAATTTTCATTTTCGCCTACGGAACAGTCGTCATATGGGGAATGAGTGAAGCCCAAGAGAAACGTTTCTTGTCCTCCATGTAAGTATTTTCTTCTGTTACAATCAGCCTTGACGAACTGCTCGTAGCAAGCGTTTTGAAGTTGAAAGATTGGGTAGGTGAGGGCGTTCGTAGTATCTGCAGAACTCTGAATTGCTGGCAGCACCAGATAGCGTTGAAATGGAGGATCTGAATTATTACTATGCTAACTACAGTCGGTACGTTTAGTCCCTTTCCGCATTCGCTGATTTTTACTCATGACACAGTATATACAATGATGTCATCACCTTGCGCAAGGGATCTGGTTACATGTGAGTCGAATATAAAAGGGATCTCTTTGATACTTAAACACATCAAGGACAAAGCTCTCTCTATCGCACGCACTGTCTCAGTCCGTCAAGATATCCTTGGTACGCTGAGTTCATTCTGTGGCATAATCTCTCCCTTATGATTGCTTAGTTCGAGGAGCTTATCTCGAATACCATCGAAGACACGAAAGATATACCCGAAACATTGTCAGAGACAGGGAAGATCGGTATACCTCATAAAGGTCGGTCAAGAAGATGCTGGATTGTATTCCATCTCACATATACCGTTCAGAAATCATGCGCAAAACCGGGGAATTGTTCATATTACGGACTAACATTAACTCTGTAGGCTCTGTTTTAGACTCTCCGGTAAGAAAATATTTGTCTAGAGTATATTGAATTCACCCCTACCCCCGTTCTAGGAAGTATTCTGGGTGAGCTGGGTTGTTCACGTCATGTGTGGGCATTTTTGACGCCTTTTCAGAGCTTTCCCGATCTCCAACCGTTGTACGATGCAGCGCGCAGTTATCTGGAGATCCCTCAGCGAATCAATCTCCTAAATACACGAGTCGAGGTTGGTTTGGTCCATGTGGCATGCTTTCATCCGCTGACTTCATGGACAGGTTCTTCAAGATATGCTCCAACTTCTCAAGGAGTCTGTATCTAGTAGGCATGCAGAACGACTTGAGCAGATTGTCGTTGCTCTTATTGGGATTGAAATCGGTAATTTCGTTTTTCTTTTTATTTAGTGATGAGCTCATGTTGGTGCGGTCTAGTACTTGGCATTATCACCATTCTCGTAGATCTCATGGCTTGATTTCTTGCATTCCATTCATATACCTCGCATGCTCAACTACGGCGCAACCTGTATTCTGCATTTATAGAAGGCAAAATTTGCCCCTCGTTGAGTCTCAAGTCATTTTCCATGGTAACGTTGGCGACCGTCTAGATTCGCATTTCTTACATCGGCACTGGCAGCATGAACAATCACTTAACCATACTGCTGGCTAGTACGGGAGGGAAAATGTCAAGACCGCACAAGATCCCGAAAGCGAGAGACATACAACTTCTGCGAAAAAATAGAACGATCCTTACTGGAGCCACAGTCCCGTCTCTACCTTCTCAGCGTCTCTCACAAAAACCTTTTGACCTCGTTATCGAGGGCCTGAAACAAAAATGTTATCTTGCCTGTATCACACCCTCAGATAGAGGAGTATTGCGTACTGGGCTTGGGAATGTTCGGGTATCAATCTGGACTTCTTGCAATCTTGGCAATCAAATCTTAACAAATCACTCGCCTTCTAGTGGTCTTGCGCAAACTTGGATGAGATTGGATGATAGCCAACTTTTAAGGGGATAAATTCTTCTTCGGGTGGGCTTCCAAAAGTGACACATGCCTTAATTATGAGCCCAGTTTCTTACTTCGCCTGAATTCCAAAATCCAGGATGCCGATGACACGGACATGTACGCAACATTAGGCAACATCTGCCTCCACCTCGGATGCGCAATTACTGCCAATTGCGGATCCGATGCATCATGTGCATGACCTTGCAATCCATGGCAAAAATATAGACCCGTCTGAATAAGATTTTCGTCTTGCTAAGTAAGGTGTACTAACGCCCGAGGCTTGAATATCATCCTTTAAAGGAAGAGCATCAAGTTCGCATCAGGATTTGGACGAGGGCAATATCATTCGCAGCACTGCAATTAAATTGTCAATGTCCTACACGGCTTGCTCAGGCAGACTCAGTGTGATCAGCAATTGACGTCACTGCGGAATGTCTGAGGAACTCAACTGCCTTCTCTCGGGAGCTTCGACGAAGTTATCCTTCAAACCAGTCGTGGCGTACTCAATGATCAAATAATTGACATTTACCCGCCGTCTCTGGTCCGCTATTAATACGTGACAAATAGTGGAAACCGACGCAACGCTAGCACGAATTTTTCCCTCCAAGTTTTTTTTGTGTAAAATAATTTTTTCATACCCACCTCCTCCCCCGTTCACTGACCATACGTGCTTATAAGTGTTAGAAGCTCGAGCTCAATAGAAACTACGTAGAGGGCTGAACCCAATTACATACAGGACCTGCCTTATCAGGCACTTGTCAGGCACCACTCTAAATACGGTCCAAGACTCCAAGCTGGGAAGCTTGAGCTCCAAGCTGCTCCATTGCTAAGCGGCTACTCTGATGACCACCTCGCGTTGCTGTTGTTCTGCGCGCTCTATGCTCCAGTTCAATTCCTTAAACATTTGATCGCCTTATGGCTGAATTTTTGCGCCGTCTTGTTTCGGGGGGCAAGCTAGGTTCAAGGATCCGAATCTTGACCTTGAGCTAGGTATGCTGTTTAATTGATGATCGAGCTCCCTGTGACACACTTTCATCGTATTCTTTTAGACCTTGTGTATGTAACTGATCAAGTCATTGTTATGGGCTATCCTGCTGCTGGCATTGAGGGCCTCTACCGAAACCGCCGCGAGGATGCTCAGCGTTTTCTTACTGCTCGGCATGGTAGTGACTTTTGGGTATTCAACTTCTGCCCAGTCAGGGAGAACTTTTATGACAAGAGTGTTTTTGATGGACGAGTGAGTCGCTACCCCTTTCCAGATCATCAGTAAGGAACAGCCATACATCATTGGTTTGCAATCGCTAAGCACTAAATCCAGTACGCCTCCCCTTGCCGTTCTCCCCTTGGTTTCGAGAGAGATACATGCTTGGGTAACGGTTTCAAAGGACCGAGTAGCTGTTTTACACTGCAAAGGTGCAACTTGCCCTTCATCCGCTTTGCACATCCACTAACTTCAGTCTCATGCAGCTGGGAAGGGAAGGTCGGGTACGCTAGTCTGTGCTTATCTTCTCTCGCTCGACACTTTTTCTCTTCCTTCTGCGGAAAACAGTTACCTTCAAAAGGACTGGGTGACCGTACGCGTTGATGATTGCATGCAAGTAATCCCCAATCATGCTGTCCTGGATGAACTAGGGGAAGCAGCCGTCTCCTCTGCATCATCCATTGTGGAAGAAAGATTCCCAGAGTCCCGAGATGAAAGTCGAAGTATTCCCTCCAAACCCTCTGCGCCCACGTTACAACAGGTATTAGACTTGCACACCTCGCGTCGCATGAAGGCGTCGTCCATTTCAACGGACAAATCAGGCACGAAGCCGGGATCAGGTGTTAGCATTCCTAGTCAGCGGCGCTGGCTTTCATACTGGTCGCAACTTCTTGCTGGTCAGGGTCCACCTGGCATGTGGGGACTGTCAGACGTGAAATCGGGCTTGCACGATGGCTCCAACTCACCATCGATTCTCCGGAGGAAAGTGCGCATTACCGAAATTTCGCTTCGACTGCGTGAGCTCTCTGGAATTAAAGCGGGCCTCGTTCGTGCAGCCAGCTTTCTAATGGATCGCGGAAAGGATGGACGTGGTCTCATTAGTCTTGGCAATAACCGTGTGTGGGCGTCACTAGCACGTTATGACGATGATTTGGTTGACGCTCTAGAGCGTCGGGAGCAAAGTACTCGGGATATCACTAACTTGGGAAGGCAAAAACTTGAGTCGTTCGAATCGGTCAGTGGTATCTTTACCAGCGACAAATGGGACAAAGAAAAAATGATACGGACTTTCGCTCGGATGGGAGATGATGGAAAGCTACCTTCTGAAATGAATAGCGCAGACGAGGTTCGTCAACTTTATGACAAGCTGGTTGCACTACCTGGAGAACTCACAGATGACAGGGCATCAAGGTCTATAACTATGTTCTTGGTCCGTTGACTGAGGAGCATTGGGTGGACATTTCCAAAGCACCGTTTCGACAGGAGGAAATTCACAGCTCAGAAGCTTCAATTAAATCGGAGATGACTTCTATCCATTCCATATCCCGGCCAGTGACAGACACCAGGATCGGTCGCAGCGGAATAGTAGTTGACGCCGACCGAGAGTTGCGGATTAAACTCTACATGGGACAGGTATGTCCATACTGTATTCCACATGTCATTCCTTACGCCAAGCCTTGGCAGGTATTTATGACTTGGCTGTGGTTCATCCCAGCATTCCATATCGCTCCTGAGATGCCATCCTCATCGTTCATACTGCCTCGAGATGACCTCGATTTCCCGATTGGCATAGGCAAGGGTATCATGGATGTGGAGTTGAAAATGGAATGGTGCCGAGATGAAGTCGATGATACGCAAGTGGAAACTGCTCAGACGGACTCGCCTTCGTCAGGGGTGGAGACTGTCGTGGCCAGCCTCGCTGGTGGCGTTGATAGCCAAGCTGTCCAAAGATAAGGAGATCGACGATTCGTACTATGGCACTTTACACGTCATATGGTGGCGGCCGCCTTGCTCTGGGTAGATCCGGGGTCCTCTTGGGCTAAGTTGTCACTTTCTCCTCGTCAAGTTGACGATTTCGTTCGTCGCACGCTACACTCCTGATTATCCTCGCGCCAACTGTCATCATACTACATATGACGGATGGTGTAATATATGACAATATTGTGCTTTTTTCGCGTACTCCTTATCCGATTTTCCTTCGCTATGACGTCGGTTGTCCTCAAACGAGTAGGGCTCATCAGCGCTGCGGGTCACGCGGAAAAGATGGCATGCACAGTTTTTTTTATGTTAAGCAGAGCTAACCATGCGGATTTCATTAAAGCGTAACAGATTGCAATCACCCTCACTACACGCTGAAGCGGTCCCGGACCTTGACAGTGAGAAAAGATGAGACCTATAAGCGAATTGTTTCCGGACTATTTTCAACTACTAGGCATGAGCCTGAGGGTCATGCATCTCATACCAGTACCGTGACAGTGAACCGTCAAGAGTTGGCGTGGGTCAAATAGTGTCTGTTGAAACTGGCTCCCATGCTGCCGTTCGCGCTGAAAGTTGTGTGGTTTGTACTGTCGTTTTCTGGTAAGCAGATTCAGACATCAAACCCTTCCCGCATTGACGCCAAAGTGGTACAGGTGTCTTTGCATGCTGGATAGTCCTAACAGTGTTCGCTCGCGCGACTGGGAGCTACTGGGGCCCAATGTTGTACTGCGTCTTTGCGACGATACTCCAGGGAATTTTTGCCTGGGTGCGTCCGCGTTCTCTTGCCAAACAGGTGAGGGTCGAGGAAGCTTTGCTGACTTCTTGAAGGCATGGTATATAACATGAACCCGTTTGATATGCCACCGGCATTTTGCAAAGGCAAGCTTTTATAATGTGTTATGTTGTTCTGTTGCCCTGATATCTTGAGCAGCTCAGACGTTCATCATATACTACTCCGCTCACTCCCTAACGGGAGTATGTGCCGCGTTCACGATGGCAACGACAAGCGCTGTGGTGTGGCCGTCCTCTGTGATGGCGACTGCTTCGTCGTGCGTGGTTTGCACCATTGCCACACCAATTTGTTTTTGAATACTTATACGTGAGCAGGACATTGGCATGGCGAAACCGTTATCTTCTTCCCATCGTTGTGTTTCCGCTCGGTGCACTTGGTGTCGCTGTTCCCGTCCTATTATCCCTTCACGCAATTCAACCCACAGATGATCTTCACTGCGACTCTAGTCATCCCATATGGTGCGTGCAGCGTCACTTGCATTACCAACGTTATGATGAAGCTCACATACGCAGGGGACGATTCTTAGGCTATGCGGGCATAGTCCATGATTCTTGCGGTTCCATGTTTATTCCTGTCTGCAATAGCAGCCCACCACGTATTCAGAATACACACGGTGCATCGTGAGCTTTTCAAGCTCACAGCCCCACATTCACATTCCCTGTCGGTTGAAAGGGAAGTCAACATCATTGAACCCTCAAAAAACCCGCCTTTGCCGCCTATACCCGACTCGGATGTGGATCCAAAGTCCGCGGAATCTGGGAACCATTTAATAGACAACAATGATCGAGACGTCGAGGTGATGCCAAGGAAAGATATTATGCCTCATGTTGACGATATGGATGATGCCGCGGCTATGTCGAAACGATATCTATTCCCCGCGGGCTGAAATCCTTGCCTCCTCCTTATCTTCACCGCCTGCGCCAAAGCGCTCTTCGGAGACATCGCAATGGGACGAATCTCAGATACGCGACGAACGAGTGTCCATCGTGCCCATTGAAGAATGCACAACTACTCTTCCGATATCGAGTGAGTCGTTCTGGTAGTGCCTGGCACCCTGGGGTACGTATTTACTCTGCCCTCAAGGCCATCATGGTCATGAACAGCCTAGACAGAGTCTTGCGCCTGCAGTATGGAGGCTCATTCTCTTCCAAATGTACGCACGTCGAAGTATAGGTCGGTGTCCTCGGAGAGGTGCTAATGTGAACCCTTAGGGCGTTCTTTATCACCCAACTTCTGGCCGCGCTTTCGACTATCATTGATGTAGCAAGACATCGCGCATACCCAACGCCTTTTGGGACGCAGCATGTAGCGTTAGTGCTGGTGGCATGGGGACCATCAGTAGTATTTGGTCGGTTCCTGCCTACTCCCATGAAAACAGCCTGACTCATCATTTCTTCAGGCCACCTTCCAGCAGTCCGGCGTAAATTGTTGTTCTGGCGACGTCTAGGCTCGAGTTCAAACCCTTAGTGCCACCTGTTCGCTGGAAGACCAAATATGTGTATATTTTATTGTGCCAACTGCATGTTAAGCTACATCATGATAGTACGCCTTCCATCAATCAGTGTGGCTTTGCATAGCCTGATGTTGGGTTTAAAAAGTAAATTTGACACAGTGCATGCGATTTTGCGGTTCAGCCAAAATTATCACTCTTCAACGCATGCAGCAATATTCTTGGCCGTCGGAAAGTCTACACACGCTGCCTTTCTCCCCCGTGATGCTAAGAGACGACTCCAGTGGAGAGCTGCAGTCTATTACATTTTTTGTATATAACCGTGCGTTCGGTGCGATTCGTTCTTAGCAGGCCAGGTTAATGTGCTGCATCATACACTCAGCCATGATCTCCCGTACTAGGTAGACCAGGAAAATAGCTGCATGGCACTGTGCACCGGTGTAATTTAAATTTACAGTGTGTTCCATATGAAACTGCAGTGCGAGTTTTTGAAAAATTCGGCCTTGTTGTCTTTACTGGGACGTTTGCACCTAAATGTGATCAAGCTCAAGGCTAGCGCGCGGAAAGTATCACATCTAATTTGAATGCAAAAGTCCCGGTAAAGGCAGCGGGGCCGAAAGCTCGTACTGCATTCAACACCGTAGTCAGCAACTAGATAATTCAAGGCCGAACTTCGCAGCAACCTTGTTCCACAAGTACTAATGCCGTGTACTATCATTTCGAGAATGCATCAAAGGCATACTAATTGTACACCATCAGCAGGAAAGTAGCGAGCCAGGGCAACAATCGAGAAAAGCTGCGGAAATTTCGCTGTCGGACAATATCAATATGCTACATGTGTGATGAGAATGAGCACATTTCAATAGACAGGTTCTGATAATTTATAGATCATATAACTTTCAGAAAGCACAGCTTGGAGGGTATATTTACCAGTAGTCGGAAGATGCTTGAGCACCGTGGTCCGTGACATTCCTTTCCTTTGAGAGGTTTGTCCGATGAAGGACCACCGCCAAGTTTACATCATGTTAGTGAAACGGAAAGCTTAGGCAATGCATATTTGACGGTGATTGTAATACAATCAAATCGCGAAGGTTGATCTCACTTGGTCAGATGAGATTGTGAGTGCACTGATGAACGCGAATAACTTACGGTGAATAAGCAGTGAACATGCTTGATAGAATCAACACCGAATGTAAGTTCTTGGGATCGCGCAGGCAGAGCATTCCTTTTCATGGACAGACTATCACACGCATTGTCACGCAATGACTGGGCCTACTAAAGATAGACCTCCGAGGATCTATACACCGCAAAAATGTTGTCAGCAGGTTTCGAACCAACTCCAAGAGGAACAGATTTTGAGTCTGATGATGTAACCACTTAGCTAAGACCAGTTAGATGGACCTCTTAGGGAACCATCGACGAGTCAGTGTCAAAGTGTGTTCCAGTAGAAAAAGACCTGTCATTCGGCAGGTTTTGAACCTGCGCAGTCGAAGACAAACAGATTTTGATTCTGTTGCGGTAATCACTTAGCTAAGATCAGTTAGGATGAACATCTGACGAAACCATGAATGAGTGAATGTCGAAGTGTGTTCCGATAGGGAAAAAAAACCTTATCATTGGCAGGTTAGACAGGTTTTGATTCTGTTATGGGAAAACCATCCATGAGTGAACCTCGAAGGCATGTTCCGTTAGAAAAAAACCCTGTCGCCTCCGAGGAAACCGCGAATCTTCAAGGCCTGTTCCCATAGAAAAAAACCTGTCGATCGGCAAGTTTCGAACCTGCACAGTCCAAGAGAAGCAGATTTGATTCTGCTGCGGTAACCACTGGACTAAGACCAGTTAGATGAACCTCCGACAAATCCATGAATGAGTGAATGGCATTGCAGGTGTGTTCTGAGAGAGAAAAAATTGTTGTCAGCAGGTTTCAAACCTGCGCAGTCCAAGAGAAACAGATTTCAATTCTGTTGTGGTAATCCCTTTCGCCAATATGCTTCACAAGTTCCAACAACCGGCCATGAGTGAATGAAGATTGCCGGTGCCAGTTGGCTGTGACTACTCCAGATAGACATTAGAATGTCGGATCCATCCATGAGTGAATGTTGAAGGCATGGTAAAAGGTTGAGCGGGTTCGAACCTGCAATAGATTTCTGTCCTGTCAACTTGGCCAAGACTGGTTAAGATGGACTGCATCTGTAGTACGAGTCGAAGAACCTCATGCATTGACAGTAGAATCGCATAGGCCCTAGGGTTAATAGTCATTTGCCAACGCAAAATGAAATAAAGACTAGTTCGATGGACACAATGAGTCGATCGGGAGCCTGGCGCCAGCGCCGTTACGTTGCTAATAGCTAAAAAACAAGTAGTGCAGAGCGTGCACGAGCAGACGGTGCTCAGAGGACAAGTGTGCGACGTGCAGAAAGGGAACACGTCAGTTAGACACTTATCACCAGATAGAAAGGGGCCTCAACGATGACGCACAGTCACGACGCTGAAAATTTCGACCAGTGTCGCGAATCAATTCAACTTGGTTAAACAAGAATTAATTCTCACCAGGTCGAAAAATGGGATCGTACAGCCACAATTATGGTACAAGGTGACACTCCAATTGTGAACTTGACGTGCATACAGCCTCAAAATGTGCGTAAAAACAACTCAGTTCCAACCACAAAGGTATAACACCAAAGTATGTATATCGTACATTCTGCCTTCGTATTACCATCGCAAACATGACAAGGCGTAACAGCGGGGCGTGGCGTATCGTATGAAGAGAAATGGGGGGAAAGGGTCAACAAGCTTTTTAAGGCACAGCCGGTATTGCAATATATGCAGAGTCAATAATTGCTGAATGTAATAAAGTCTGAAAATTCTATCCTGAATGGACACGCATCTAGGGCTAGGAAGGGTATTATCCGAGGAGACCCTCGCCATCAGAGTGGGCTGCGGAACTGTAGCCGCTGCCACCGATCTCGTTGTATCGTGCAATGCGGAGACGCTGGCTTGGAGGTATGGTCTTGTCTTCAAGGCCATGTGGGGCTCCGCCGTGAAGAACGCCGACACGCTTCATCGCAAGGAGCTGCACAAGGTATTAGTCAAGATATGGTTGTGCGACAAGTAGAATATGCCTCACGTTATGTGCGGCGTTACTATGGTCATAAACACCTCCAAAGAATGCTGTAGTGGCATCCCGGCCAATGTTCTTCGTCAACAAGTGACGGCCTCCTGGGTGGTCATCAAGGAAGTCTGAAACATCGTGGATGAAGCCAGCAATGCAGATGAGTGGACGGCTCTTGGCTTGTTCAAGGTCTACACGTAATGTATCAGAAAATACATATGCACACGCTGAGAAAATACGTACAGCTCTCCCAGGAAATGACGGGCAAGTCACTGTTATCAGAAGGCCATGACAGGGTTTCCTGGGTCTCGCGAAGACGTTTAAGTTGCATGGTCAGCTGACCCTTGCGGACCTCATTATCAGGGAAGGACTGATAGACCTGCATAAGCCAATCATCCTAGCGTATCTCCAATAGACACACCTTCAGATGGCTTGCGAAGCCAAGCTTCTGGCACGACCAAATGAACCACTTTGTAGGATCATATTGGTACCACTTGATGGCATTGCGGTAGTCCATGGGGAACTGGTGGTGGAAGTTGTGGTACCCTTCACCAATTGTGACGAGGGCAGTAATGAGATGGTCGCGAGGACTATGTTTGTCATCGAATGGTGTTTCACCCAACCAATGAGCGAGCGAATTAACGCAGAATGTGGACTATATGCGCGAGGTCAACTATTTATCGGAGTATAGGGCAGCAACAAACGCACGTGGTGAACAAAGCAAAGACGTAGAAGAGCGGCATATATGTAGCCACCCTGCCAGTCACCCCAGCCAAGTCCAGCCACAACAGTAGGGAAGAGGAAGCCCATAATCACGACAAGGAACAGGTAGTATTTGTGCTGCCACCTTACAACCTCGTTCTTTGTCAAGTCGCTAACATCAGCAACGCCAGGCTTGCGACGGGGCTTGACAACCATCCACCCAATGTGTGACCATAAGAGGCCGCGATGTGCGTTATACGGGTCAAGGTCGGTGTCGGTGTAACGATGGTGAGCACGGTGTCCCCGTGACCACCATTTAATAGAGCCTTCAACTGCACCTGCACCGACGAATGCAAGAACGTACTGAAGGGGCTTCGACGCGTTGTATGAACGATGTGCCCATAGCCGGTGATAACCAGCAGTGATGCCTGAGACTATGATAAGACAGCGTATCTGAAGGTGAATGCCAAAGCTTACCGAGACCAGTCATGTAATAGTATACCACTGACCAAACCGCAGTTTCCCATCGAAGGCGAGTGTAGTACGCGCCGACAAGACCTACGACAGGCGTACCAGCGAGAATTGCAACGTGCAGCCAGTTTAACTCCTTGTACCAGTTGTCCCAAGAGAGTGGAGGAAGAGATTTTTGGTGCTTGAGGGTGTAAGACACGTAGTTATCAGGAATATTAGCGTCGGCAGGGACGTGCTCGGGATCCTCAATGAACTTCTTTGAGGACAGTGAGTTAGCGTCGCCATTAAGCTTCGGAGTTATAGGGGGAGTGAGAGTCTCCATCGACGGAGGCGTCGAGCGAACTGGAGGGACGGTCGACATGAAGGAAGGTGGTCAAGAAGAAAAAGACGGAATGACCAGCGAGCATTTATTTGGCGCAAATTCTTTGGGGTTGGAGATAATTTGATTTCGTAACGCGCAGCGCTAAAATATTAAACCATGATATTGACACGAATAAAAAAATTAATCCAAAATGTATATCATTTTTTTCCCACTTTCTGTCTCTTTTTCTGCAATAATTTTAGTGCGGGACGACAAAACTACACGTGAAGGAATGAAAACCAGGTCGTCAGAGTGATGATGAGCACGCTGGAATTGCCATCACTCAGTACTCAGTGCGCCAACTCGTTGGGGAATATTTGTCATCCCAACTTCGGACCAAAATTAGGTGAAATTGACGTATCCATCAAAGCCAGATTTCACAGCCTATGCTTGGCACTCTCATGAACGGAGTCGACGCAAGGACCTTTCCATCACATGCGACTTATACAAGTTATATCCTTTAAGCTTCAAGCTTTGCTTCCGTGCGCGTGAAGTCACAGTACTGCCCCAAATTTTGGGCCGAGCGCAGTTCGATGGACCATGTGCCACTCAATACACAGCCCACGACTCAATCATTGGTTTATTCCTGGTCATAGCGCTCACATCCTTGGGAATTCGACACCAAACGATTGTGGAGGCTTATGCCCAGCGTGGCGTATACTGCTTCTAGTGGTGTAGCCACGTCAGAATGGTCACGAATCTAGATACCGGTGCAGCGAAAGCTCGAGATACTTCAAGTCACGGTGGCATCCGCCTGTAGGCTTAGACTCCGATGAGTAGTGAGTGACCCAGGGCCTCGGGGTAAGACCGACAGATATTTTTAGCGACACACGAGTAAGCGCTAACTTCATTCGCCACATAGTAGGATCATATATAGGGGTTGATAATCTTTCTCCAGCCTATCATGATAGCACACGTCACGTTGGTGCTAATTTACACGGCGTCAAAACAAGTCTATCATACGGCATATCCAGCTACCTACCTATTATCACCCTCGTCGCTTGCTGCACGGAACCGACTCTCCTAACACTTATTTCTGTAACAGAGTGGTCGACCAATGCCAGCTAATTTGAAGGGGCTCAGGGCCAGCCAGTCGTATATACCGGAATATTAGAAACGACTAATGACCGGCCATCCCGTTCATTCTGTCCATACCGTCTGACCCTAATTTGGCTGTCCGGAACGTCTCGGATTTCTTCCAAAATCCCGGTCTTATGTTTCAGGAATTGGGCCAACTTTGGACGTCAATGAGGCGTGTGTACCATTAATGTACCAGGACTCAGCCTGAGCCGATGCATGACGTTGATTCAACTTGTTTAAACGAATTGAATTAATTTTGCGCTCAGGTTTCGCGGTGATTAGGCAAGCGGAGTCCCCAGCTCCATGCCCGGGCGACTCGGACAGGTTTCGTGGCGATCTGAGACAAAGGTGGTACATGACACGGCAGCATAAGGCAAAGTAGATGTGAGACTCAATATGTGTGCTTTGGATGAGCAGTGAAACTAGAAGTAGACTTAAAAAGACATGAGTGTCTTCGTCAACTAGAACTCGACAACTTGGGACGCCACCGGCAGTACAGCCTCAAATGATGTCCTCGAAACCTATTGCTAACGAGGTAAACGTGGACATGATCTCTAGCGTTAGGTCAGGAATACCTGTGAGATGATCAGCAGCACATTTCAGCGTGATCATGATTGTCGGACGGAGAGAACGTACGAAACCCTACTCCACCCCCCGTTGGAGAGGCTCCACCACCTACTCTGACTGCTACTAACGAAGACCTCATCAGTGAATTCTGTCACGTGGAATCAGTGTCTACTTATGTCCTTCCACGTACTAGTACATCACGATCCAATGTGACATGACATCTAGCCATCTATACTTTTGAAGCTCATGATCAGACATGTCTCAATAGTTTATATGCATCCATACCATCATCCATGTGACTCACTATTAACGCCGATGCAATACAAGAGAGGAAGAGGACGATTGCATGTGTTTATATATACATATACACTTTTATATGACGATGCATATGGTAGATCTGCATCGACAAGAATGGAAGCATAATTAAGCTGAAAACAGGCCAAGGAACAAAATGAAGGGCTCAACATATCAAGGGTTCCAACAGGCTATCTTCTTCCATTCGAAAGCTGCGGAAACAGTTGTCTTGAAACCCAGCTAGACAGTCTCCTGTACTAGGTGGCGATACATGACCTGCGCTATGATCCCCTAGTGGCGATAGACACAGCCCAGGCTACGGCGCAGCAGGACACCATTTGACCAAGTTGGTCATTTCATTATCGAATACATACTAATCGATGACATGGACAGGTGGCCGCAGCAATGTCATTTGAGATCAAGAGGGTCCTGGGGAGTAAGGGTGTAGTTTAGGGACCACGACAAGTGGCGGACGTTCTGTCACGATCAGTGTCAACAGAATTCCAGTACCGCCAGAAAGTGATCGAAATGGAGGGAAACACGAGGGAGCCTATATCACACAAGAATCAAGAATCAATAGGTGGCGAATGAAAGGCGACAGCACAAGAATGATACTGTTTATGTACTGCATGACAAGTTTAAGAAAGAGCCAGCAAAGCCGCAGTCTAAGCTTAGCCCGGAGGTGCCGGCAGCCGAGGCAGCTTGATGGTGCTAAATTTTGATGTTCGGAAGTGGTGGTAGGTGACAGGGTCTGCTGACAAACATCTACATATTGATAAGCACGGTGCACGGAGCGAAACGTTTGATCCCGTGGGAGCAATGCGGGTCGACGCCACGTGACATATAGGCAGATGAACCCGTTCTGTACGTCATTGGACTGGAATGAAAGAGGCAGAAGGGATTAGAAGCTTCAGAATACGTCTTTGTTGTTGAGACGCGGTTCCTGACGTCGACAAAACATGTTTGCATGGCGACGATCGTGTTGCTGCCAACTTGAAGCTTTGAAGCTTAGCGAGTTGCCATCCGTCCGTTGTTTACGAGGAGGCGAAAAAGAAGAAGGTCGATTCTATTCCTCTGAATCTGCCAGCCAAGGAACCAAAAACGAATTTATGTGGGCAACGGTCGCTGTCCTAGGGCCAAATATGTGTTCGGCGGCCTAGTAGTAGACAAGCGCATTCCAATACTTCCATGCCGCTCATTAAACCAAACTAGACTAGTGCGGCAGATGAAGGAGAGCGGCTGCCGCTAAGCTAGTGACATTAATGAAAGAATTTGAACGGGTGTACGGAGGACTGTAGCCGTTGAAGTGGAGTATTTTTCTAACGACCGCCGGCGGGCACGGCATCTGACGTAGTTCGCACAACGCTGTGCGCATGAGAGGAATAGTGAGATAGCCGCCCGACAACAAGGTTCACTAACGCCGCTTCTGTTGTACTTGAAGTGTTCGAGTCTGTGGGACATTTTGTGGCTCCAAATGGCATACAGGTGTGGTGGTTGATCGATTAGGCAAAAAAGTAGGACGAGGGGGTGTTCTCGGGTGCATATTACTCCTGTGATTGGCATGCGATATCCGTCATCATGGATCAGGAAGTCTGTCTTTTGAGATTGATATTGCCATTGAGTCTGGGACTGGGACAAGGAACCAGGACTCGGAGGTCTAGACTCTTGGAAGAGCGGCGGTAGGGAGTTATTTCTTGACAAGTTTCCTGAGACGTTGCTTGTACACGGCGGGGCCTAAAGAAGTGATTTATACACCCCGTTGATGGCAGAAGAGGCCAAGGTCAAAAAATAGGATGTACTAAAGTCATAGCTTATCGGAACCGACTCCGGTCTTGGATACAGGTTTTCCAATGGTGGCTGCGGTGGAGATCCTGACACCATTATTGATTTACGAGGTGCCAGGGGTTACTGCGCCCCCAGATATGCTATCGGCGGAGAGGGATATTTCGGCAGATACCACGGCGCAAGGGGTGCAAAAGTCAATTGTGCATGAAACTTGGACCTTGCTTGGCATAACGGAGGCAGATCTAAACAGAATCGCGGAATTGAAAAAGCCAAGGAGCATTTTATGCCGCTGTTCCTCAAATGAGGAGATACTATTTTGCCTGATCCTGATTGAGATGCAGTGCAGAATCAGAAGAGTTCGAATTTCTGGCCGCTATGCATCACCTTGAATGGCAACGGAACCATTTCATGCTAAACCTAGTAGGCGTCAAGGCCTCGGCAGACCCACCTCACACGGCCGTCAACGGGTGAGTAATAATAGCTCACGAGAGGAAGGTAACGAATTAGTTATAGGCGCTGAAGATGGAAACGGAAATGCGTGGAGACTGAGGCACATGCACATCTGTAAACCCTGTCGAAACGAAGCTTAGAAGCTGGTCTTTGATAGCACGGATAGTCAAATTTTGACAGGAGGATGGGATCAAGTCACAAGTCCATGGCTCCGGAACATGGGGGGTACCGCCGATCCCTAATACCGTAGGTCTGTACCTTTTAGTGTGACTACTTTCATCAAATATCACGTCAGACCCCCCCATTATTCACTACTACTACGGTTTCTTTCCATCTCAACCGCCACTGCCGCCCTGCAGTCAATTTGTACCATTAACTTTTTATCTAAACACAAGTCTTTTCTTAATTCCCATCTTATCAACGACCTCTTCTCCTTATACACTCATGCCCACACCTAAACGACTCAGAGTCTCCGAGGACGATCCCCTCACCCGAGCAATTGCACCTCCTTCTTATGAATCACCTGCCGAACGGGAGGAACGACTTGCAGCAGAACAAGAAGCAAAGCGCGTTTCTGACGCAATTGATGAGGAGCTCAACAAACAACGTATCTCAGAGAAGAAAGGTCCTAAAGCAATAAAGATACTACTCCTAGGTGCGCTCCTGGCCTTCAACTCGAGATATCCCATTAATTATGCTGTGCAACGAACACTAGGTCAGAGCGAATCAGGTGAGTTCCCATGTAGCTTTCTCTCACCTCCCAGCTCCTCACCCGGAGCTTGCAGGCAAATCGACAACGCTGAAAAGTAAGGTCAAATTCTATTTATGGTCAGACTACAATTTACCTTCTTTTGGGTACATTGCAGACTTCCAACTCATGAACTCTCCTAAAGTGCGCTCTGATTAATCTCCGGGACATCCCTTGCCTGTAATACTAATCACCCTCGTTTGTTTAGGCCTTTCGCTCAGAGCGTGCTTCGTGGAGAGCAGTCATTCAACTCAATGTTGTTCAATCTATTCACGCCATCTTGGACCTAATGTCCAGGGCACATTCCTCAGCACACATCCCTTCAACGCCAATCAATCACATAACGAACCCCTCTTCTACACCCACACCATCCAAGGAATATCCTCCACTCAATTCAGAACATCTGAAGCTCAAGATGCGCTTAGCTCCATTACTACAAGTCGAAGCTGCCTTAATGAAGAAGCTTATCCCCAATGGCCACGCCCAATTCTCCAATCCTGCACAATCTCTTCCTATTCAGCAAGAAATCAGTGTCAACTCTTCCGCAGGCTGGAAGAACACGTTCAATCGACTAATGGGTCGAAATAGCTGTGACAGTGCAGATCTAATCGACTGGGCTGACCCGGACGACCCTGGCGTAGTTCTGAATGCTTGCGCAGAAGACATGAAACGGCTTTGGACTGATCCTATCGTTCGGAAATTGATGGAAGTCGAGAAGATGAGACCGGAAGAGATGGCTGGCTTGTACGTTTTTGAAATAATGATTTCATATCTTGCCCTCATGATGACTTCCAGCTTCCTTGATGCACTTGATCGGGTGACTTCACCGCGGTACATACCCACTGATGGTAAGTTGAAATGATTCTCGATAGCACGTAATTGGTGCTCATTTGAAATTTAGATGATGTTCTGCGCGCGCGGCTAAAGACACTTGGAGTGTCAGAACATCGATTTACTATGAAAACAGGTTTGCCCCATGACAACATTTCTACTGGATTTTGACCGATTATGGACTAGGTCATATGGGATCGCCTATGAGCCATGACTGGCGTGTGTTCGATGTTGGCGGTCAAAGATCACTAGTGAGTACTTGTGATATATCGTGTCAACGAGCTCTCGGCTCAACTGCCATTTTTGTAGAGAGCCGCATGGGTCCCATACTTCGATGACATGAATGCCATCATTTTCCTGGCTCCCATAAGCTGCTTTGACCAGGTTCTTCAAGAAGATCCATCTGTAAATAGATTGGTGCGCCTTATCTCCTACCCCTGTTTTTGTGGCTCATTCTTTGTGGCAGGCCGATTCTTTCCTTCTCTGGAAGTCTATCGTGTCTAATCCCCTGTTGAAGAAAACTGAGCTGATACTGTTTCTAAATAAATGCGATATCCTTCGCGCGAAGCTCGCTTCAGGTATTCGGTTAGCTGATTACATTGTCAGCTATGGGAGCCGACCGAATGACTTTGAAAGTGCTAGTCAATGTAAGTTATGTCCTCTGTTGTCAAGTTGTTTCATGACGCGTTGTCTTGTCAGACCTAAAGAAGAAATTCGCTGGCCTGCTAAAAGAGCATTCTCCTGAGCGACTATACTACTTTCATCTTACATCTGTAACTGTAAGATCTTGAGCCATTATTCATAGGCACTCGTGGTAACTGAACTTATCTTACAGGACACAAAATCAACAACATATATCCTCGAGAACGGTGTGTACATGTCTTTGCTTCGGAAACTGCAGCTGACTCGATTTATATTGCCAGTGCAAGATGTTCTCGTCCGCGACAACCTGAGGAGAAGCGCACTTGTAACCTAATATCCGATACCCCTCTGTTCGTGCATCCCACCTGAGATACCTGCATGAAACTCCCACGACCTCCTGCAGCCCCACCTACTTATGCCTGTGACTACGTTGTATCATCAGCTGTTGTCATCCTTGGCTTTATTTGTCGCAAATGCACTCATACACCTCAGGGACACTTTAGATCCACCTTCTACCCGCTCCTCTGCGCAGCCTATAGTTCTCTATTTCTTCTGGGGCCACGGTGCAGGGGCATTAGTGCAGGGCGCTGTACACCCACTCTCGCGTCGCTTGTTATACATACATAAAGCTGTCCATAAGCATTTGTTACGGGCGAATTGAACTGATACTACGAATAATCTGAATATAATTGGTACATGGATTTATTGAAATAGGCTCCACGAGAACAGCTCATGATCATGGCAGTATTAAAGATTCCTCGGCGGTGCTGAATCAAACGTTCCGAAACTAGTTGTCTCAGGCTTTCTGCTGATGTTGGACAGCCTAGAATTCAATCAGTATCGAACTGCACACACCACAATCATATGGTTCAGATTGATCGTCGATCGGAACGGCGTGGATTTTCTGATGCACAAGTACAGGAACTTGTTGATTATCTTCAGTTCCAGCTGCATGCGGCACGATGGCAGGTCACACGTATTGGCATATAGTGGAAAGGCGTATTACACGGTTGTTTGTTCCAGCTGCAGCTGCCAAACAAGCCTACATGCACCAGTACACGACGTTGAAGCGTGCAGCCTCGTAACCGCAATCCCACAAGTTCAACTTGACGTCTCCCATAGTCGTATTTTGAAAGAAGGAAGACAGTCGTTCTAACTTGAGGCTCTTCATATTACCTTCAACATGAAGAAGGTCCTCAGTCTCCTTCCTCTAGCCCTTGTCATACCAGCAATCCTCGCAGCGCCAGCCGAGGACACACAAGTCGTTCTTGGTGGGACTAGCCCTGTTCAAAATGGTCTCTTCCACCTGCCAGGTGCCGAGAGAGTGCATCAATGGTTTGAAGATGGGAAGCAGTTCATCAAGCAACACGGCTTAACCTGTAAGTCCGTATGCCTGATCCGGTTCCCTCTGACTGAAACAAACGTCGCAGATGAGCTGGTTCAACACCCTCATTTTGGTGACTATAAGCTCAGGGTCACGGAGCCCAAGCTTTGTGACCCTTCGGTGAAACAGTACTCCGGTTACCTTGATATCACCGATGATAAGCATCTGTTCTTCTGGTCAGTGATGCCATCTTTTTCTTCCGTTATTTCAAATTTTCAATCTTGATTGTTTTTAGGTTCTTTGAGTCACGCACCTCTCCTGAAGATGCGCCCCTTGTAATGTGGCTTAACGGCGGCCCAGGGTGTAGCTCGTCTACCGGCCTTCTGTTTGAACTTGGTCCCTGTAATATCGCCGACGAAGGTGCCAACACGACGTTCAACCCCCACAGCTGGAATACCCACGCGAACATTATCTTCCTTGACCAGCCCATTAACGTTGGATATTCGTACTCTGAAGATGGCAGCACCGTTGACACGAGCCCTGTTGCTGGAAAGGATGTGTATGCCTTCATGGAACTCTTCCTCACCCGCTTTCCCGAATACTCCACTCAACCTTTCCATCTCGCTGCCGAGAGTTATGGCGGCACCTATGTTCCGAACATTGCAAACGTCATCTACACCGAGAATCAACAGCTTCCTCTTTCGCCCGAGGCTGGACTTGTCAAGATCAACCTTGCCTCTGTTATGATAGGCAATGGAATGACCGACAACTACATCCAAATGGCATCGATACCTGACTTATCTCTGCGAAGGACCGTACCCGATCTATGATGACCCCGATGGTGCGCAATGCACTGCCCTGAGGAGCAAAGTCCCGACCTGCCAGAGGCTGATCCAATCTTGTCGCTCTTTTAATTCCCGCTTAACCTGCGTACCTGCTGCGTTGTATTGCAACTCTCAGCTTTACGCTCCCATCCAACGTATGTGCCATTGTTACGAGATCTAATCACACCTGAACTCGCCCTTCAGAATCCGGCCTCAACCCTTACGATGCGCGTATCAAATGTGATCCTGAGACAGACGGCCCTCTATGTTACCGTCAGATGGGTTGGATTGAGACTTATATGAACGATCCTGCTGTCAAAGCTGCTCTTGGTGTGAATCCCGAGCGCAAATTCGAGTCGTGTAACATGGCTGTCAATCAGGCATTTATGCTTCAGGGTGATTCGATGCGTAATACACCGCTTTTGCTGACAGATATGATCAATGATGGTGTCAGGCTGTTGATCTATGCTGGTAACGCGGGTGAGGCTAAACTTTCTATTCTGGCTGCGGATTTCTGATGCCACTTTCAGATATGATGTGCAATTACATGGTACATATCTCATCATTCAGGTTTGTTTTCCGTAAGCTCACGTATATTTCAGGGCAACGAACGTTGGCTCGAACAACTTGACACTATCTTCTTGGACGAGTTCTCCACGGCTACGACTGAGCAGTGGGTAACGATACGTTCTGGAAAGGTAGCCGGTACTGTCCGGTCTGCCGGTGGCGGTGGTTCTGGCGCTGGAAACGTAACCTTCGTTACTGTTTACGAATCTGGGTCAGGAGACATACCTTGTTTTGTGTTTTGATAATTAACTATTTATCTTTTCAGGCACATGGTTCCTTACGACCAACCTGAAGCTGCCTTGGTGAGTGATGGAATCCAAGTGTTCGGGTTCATTCGCTCATACCATACACAGGACATGATGACGAGGTGGATCATGGACATCCCGCTCACGCTCGATATCACGGAGGCAGCGCCTCTCGTGCCCTTCGGAGGAATATAAATTGAACGTCCATCTCACAGACAACCTAAGGCGCCTTGTATTATTAGATAATGGGCCTTACTTATCGCACTTGACATGAGCCCTAATTGGGCTGTTGCAGCTTTCTCACTGCATCGCCGTGACACGTTTTTACGAATGTTTGTCTAGAACGTCATTCAACGTGCTCCTCATGTTTCGGTCGTGAGAACCAACCCCTGTTTTCAACACGTACAGACTTGCTAGACCTCGGGGGATACTTTGCTGCGCCCAAGTCCAGATACGAAGTGAGTTGGCAGCTTCACAAGTTAAATTTAGCAGCAATCAGTGCTTGCTGTGAAACGTCCTCGCTGGTTGCTGTGGGCGCCTCCGAAGGTAATATATATCTTTTGAACACACGGCATAGCCGCAGTAGATCCACTCTTTGTCCTATCGCTCGTCTGTCATGTTAACTCACTCACAAAATGTGGCTCTCACACCGCTCGACTTCAGCAACTACCAAAATGTCCTTATCGACGTTCTGTGGAGCCAACTCACGGAGAGCGCAATAGAGCCAATGCAAGCGCCGGTACCATACTTGATTAATTTCGCAGAAGACTGCTTGCTTTGCTCCATCGTGGTGTTGAGGAGGCAGTGCATGGATCAAGCACCCGGCGATTTCGTCCCTTTAGAGGAGGAAGTCCCCTATGAAGAGGAAGAGGAACCAATCGGCCTCGTATATGTCACCGCTGCCCCTGCACAAAGTGCAGCGCAGGAGGCAAATGTTGGGATCATCATCTCTGAATGCCATCAACGCAAGGGCTTCGCTCGCGAAGCCGTAGAGCTTGCGCTGAAATGGGTATTTGAAGACCTCAAGTTCCATCGCATCCAAGCAGCGTTCATGAATAACGCCCAGAAAGATCGCGCAATGCGGCTTTTCGTGGGACAGGGCTTCATGCACGAAGGCACCCGGCGGCGTTCGGTATTTCAGCCGGAGAGAGGGGGTGTGGTTGGTGTCTGGAAAGATGTCACATACCTGGCGATGCTTGATACGGAGTGGGCGCTTAGGAACGTACTGAAGCGCCAGGGCACAGCACCAAGCTTGTGGGATGAAATGTTTGCGCGGCACGCGATGGAGAGAGAGGAGATGATGAAATGGGATGAGAAGCACAATAGGATCAGGAAGGTGTCGAGCACCGAAACCCTGCACGATAGGGAAACTTCGCGCCAACCCGACCGCACAATCATTGACCCATGGCCTTCAGATATGTCGTCTTCTTCCTCGTGTCAATCCTCCTCCTATGGTTCGGTGCCACCTTCACCAGGCCCTGGCGCTGCAGATATCTCCAAAGCTATGCGAGAATATCTTGATTTCAGGGAGAGCCACCCGAGATGGAGCCCGTTGCAAGAGCTAGATGATGTCTCGCGACGGTCTTCGCCTTCCCCCTATGATTTTTACATCCCTTCCGAGTCGTCACCAATTCATGATCCGCCTCGTTCGCCTTCAGTTCCTTCGAGCGTCTCTGAATTTGATTCTGAGGATGAGAGTGACGTAGCGCCTTCATTGCAAGCGCTACGCAGAATCCATACCTCAGGCAGTCAGCTATCGTGGACCCAGCGCCCTCTGATCCCTATCAGTCGGCCCGGGAGTGCCAGTGGAAGTTCTGATTCTGGGTCCTGGTCTGACGCGTCTGCCGGTGACGGCGTCGACGGCTCAGATGGCAGCGACTGGGATATGATGTCTGAGCCAGAGCGATCCTCTTGATCGTCGCACTGCTACATACATACTATCTGATATCTCATCATATTGCTTCCAAATCATGTACAAACCTAGCAAGTGTTTCTCAGTCTGACTCGGGCATGAATCCGGATATCCCTGATTAATCATCTGTATCACTTATATTTACAAATCGCATCACCTGTACTTGATGGTGTACTACTGGCTAGTATCATCACTTTCTATTCCCTGTTTCAAGAGACTTCCCTGGGGTTGAACGTTGGGTTGAGTCGGATGACAAAACAGTTGATCTTGGGCTTATCCCGGGTCACTCTCCTCTTCAGTACTCGCGAGGCCCCGCAACAAATAACAAAGACCTCAACTTTTATTTCATTACTAGTATTTGGATCAAAACGCGCACTCCTGTCAGTACAACTTGAAGAAACCCCCCATAACTTGACAACAATTCTCGAGACTGCAACATATTCTCAACAAAATCATTCGTCTTGCCCTCTTCAAGAATTCGACCGGGCTCTTGTATAGTATCTTACAGCTCCATGATGATTCTCTGCAGGAAGCCATTCCACAAACGTCGCGTCGGATAGGACGATGGGAACCTTCACCTGGCCCATCGAGATGTTCGTCTTGTCGCATTTCTGCCTGCGATATTCTGTGAACGTGCCGCTCTCCACTCTGCTCAGCTTCTTTCAGGCTATCCGAATATTAATTAAAATAAGATTCTACATAGCTTCGTGAGTGAAATGTGTGATTGTTATCACTTGGGATACTTACGAAAATCGCCCGGAAATTTATCTAGAATTTTATCGCATCAACATTCTGCCAGTGGCAAGTGAGAGTACCGTCCTTGCCAACACCTGCTGTCGCGCTCACATGGCTTCCTGCACTTTCGTGGATACGAAGCCTGCACTGATGCACATGGGCCCGCACTTACGGTGGACCCCTTCTTACTACTTCTGTCACTAACTGTCTCCTCATCAGGGCTCACCTCGATGCGTCGCTTTGCAGCTCCTACATTTGGGGATCCGAGGTTCACTGCCCCTTCAGGGCTTCCGGCGACAGCAAGGGTTTCGAACACTTGCTGAATCACACGAGATATGGTGGCCATGTTTCTCATATGGCGGTCGATGAATCTCCTTCATACATGAGGAAAAGACTTTCTAGAGATCAGGTAGAAGAGAGTGGGATGTACACACAGGATCCCCATCCGTGTAAGTGTTGCTACGAGCCAGGAAGGCAATTCTACGAAGCGGATTCGTGATGTTATCGAATTCCAGGGAGCGGTCATTTTTCCCTGGCCCGTCTTCCACGATTCGAGCCGGCTCGTACAATGTCTTACAACTCCATAACAACTTTCTGCAGGAGCCATTCCTTGAACGATGAGTCAGATAAGACGATGGGAACCTTCACCTGGCCCATCGAGACGTTTGTCTTGTCGCATTTCTGCCTGCGATATTCTGTGAACGTGCCTCTCTCCACGAGACGTATAGTTGGCTTTCTTGCTCTCCCTTGCCAAAAAGCCATATGATATTCATCGTTTGTCATGAGGTCTTCAAAAGTTTGCTGTGTGGCCATTTTCGCGTCCTTTCCTGTGAAATATAAATTTTTAGCGCAATCGCGGAAGAGCTCCGAAGCAAGCACGAACCTATTTCACCTCCAATTTCTACCAAGTACCCATAAGTAACTGGCGTGTCTCGATCATCGGCTACAACAGTGAAATCTATGATTTGGCCGATCCATCGTGTAGAGGCAGATACGATCGCGTTCGTCAATTGCGACTCTGTACACGTTGATCCATACGCCAGCCCAAGTGAGCCACTGCCTCGGCAGGAATTTTAGCTGCTAAGCCTGGCCACATCGATAAAATCGCAACTCACTCTCGCCTATGAAGGTAATTGATGACGGGTAATCCGTCATCTGGCGCAAAGCCTTTCACAGTGACGACATCGCCAATGCGGTATCTCCACAAGCCATTGCGTGTCGTCAAGACGGGCTCGTAATGTCCTCCAGTCACAAGCTCCCACTGCAGCAGAGATGAGCAGACAAAGCTGGGATGCAGTGAATGGTTCTTACGGCGGACAATACACGCTCCGAAGGCTCGTTGGAACGCACGTCCAGATACTCGGTGACACCATCTACAGGTACCACCTTGAAGTCGGTATTAGGGTCGCCGTTGAAATATGGTACGGCGATATAACACTCTGAGCTGCCATAACAAGGAGACTGCATGGCAACAGAAGGCCCGAGGACGTGAGTGATCTTGTGTCGCTGTTAGTTAAGTAGTAGACCGTCCACAATTGACGTGCCTTTGGAACCGATGCAGCAGCGGGACCTCCAGTGATCCCAATGAACTTTTTCAAGTCAGGCCACACACGGACTGCCCAACCCTGGATTCCGGGAGGCCCGATTTCGCGAAGTTCGGCAGCTCGAAGAGGGTTTGGAGTAAAATGTTTCTGATACAAATTATAAACTGAATGAAATTTAACAATCAAGCGCAAATATGACCTCTAAAGGCTCTCGCAAATGGTCTAGTTTTTCCATGTCTGGGATAATCCCGTTCTCGATGCAGTTGACGAGCAGAGGCCACTCATCCTCTACATACTGCAAAAAATTGACGAATACACTGGCGAAGAGGAAGCGAATGGTTGTGACCCGACGGTCTGCGAGTGCAAATAGCGCATTCAGAATGAAGAAAGCGCGATAGCTCTTCACCAAGGAAATCGCGTATGGATCGGTTTTTCCCGGAACTGAAAGTTGCCTAGAGATCAGCATGCACATGCGAAAACAGAGCGATGGACTTACCCCATAAATTAATTCTGTCCTTGTCGTGGTCGACGTGCCAGTTCATTTGCATTCGCAGAAAACCGACGGTTACCGAGCACACTGGCAACACCTTGGAGCTATGGCCGTCCTCGAAATCAATCTTCAGGGCTTGCCCAAAACTCAAAGAAGATGGTGATAAGATACTACCCTCCGAGTGGCAAAGCGGCAAATATAAAGGATGATGCAAAAGGTGCGGTGCAGGTCGATATATCGGGAATGTCTTTGGTGCTTTTCCAGATGTTGTGCTGGAAGCAGCTAAGCAGTAGGGCAGTCCTGGGGCGAACATGTTCTCCACGTCAGACTCCTTGCAAGGTGTCGCAAAAAACTTGGCCATGAACGGCCTGTAAGGATCGTAATTTGTGGTGGGAATGGATTCTCGGAAACTGCGCAGAAATTCTATATCATCATTCGAATTTCTCTGTGACATAACCTCGCGGAACTTTTCCAACTCGGAAGCATGTTGAGCAAACTGAGACACAGAATTTGGCCGTATAAACTCAAGCAGGGCTTGATCCAGGAGATCTTTGAGCCGCTGAGAGATTTCAGGCGACAAAGAGTGCAGGAGATTTGTGTCAGGACGAGACATTGTTGAAATATGGTGCGCGGTTGGATCGTGACATTATATAGCGCGAGTGGTCTAGTGTTGATTGTATAGCCCGAAGATATTAAACCTAAAGGGAAGGGAAGGGAAGATGATGGTGCTCAGTACTCGCATCAGTGTGCAATGTGCATCGGACACCCTTCTAGTTGTTGTGCTGGCATTCATGATCCATGGCTCCGGGTTGAAAATAAGATAATGGAGTAAGTGGTACTAAGTACATCAAGTTGCCTGAGAATGTTCCCTGGCAGGTCCCTTCACTGGCACCAAGTGTACCAATGAGATTATGATCACCCTCACGCATTCTCTGTAAACGGCATCAGCTCCGCTGGCAGCTCGCTGGTGATGCGCACAGTATTCAAATTGAATTACTCATCGAGGGATCAAAATCAGAATTGAGAAAATGATGATTTTCTAGTATGTAGTGCGAGGTTGTTAGCAGCCGACGAAACCCGTAATAAAACTTACAGTCACGAAGGAAGCTACAGTCATGGATATCGGGTCTATATCATAGAATCAGGACGGTTCAATGAATCATCAACACCACAACAACACAATTACATACCTTCATTCCACGTCAGCTGGATCCATGAGAGATATACTCTTATGATTCAGGTTCCGGGCTTAGTAGGAACAGCGACGATAATAGGAGTTCGTGGCGCGCAGAATATATTCGGCTGATTCCGATAATCTATTATACTAACTAATTACTCCGCCACTCGGATGCTCTCGTAACTCCGCTAAGAAGTGCACGAACCATGTCGGCTGATTGCTATGTCACAACATATACACCTCTTGCATGTCTCAAAATCATGAAGAACGAGAAAAAAATGACGAAATTGTGTAGACAAGTAAGTATTGGAAGTGTGTCAGATCCGAGTCATGATCCAGAATTCATTTCGTTGGCTCGTGTCATATTAAGCTGCACTCGGTCACGCAAGACGTGATTTTAAGGTGTTCAGCATTGCCGGAGTGAATCACACACATGTGAGCGCGGACATTAGTGTTTGGTCTCAATCACCATGACCCAAAATTCGATCCATTGGCTCGTGTCACATCTTTCATCCATAGACCAGTGCACACATAAACCAGTGCATCGAGGGTAAGACAACGTGACTGGTTGACTTGAAAATTCATCTTTCCTTCACAAGGTAAAGTAAACCCTCCCACCAGATTTACGGAAATTATTGTAATTGTTAGCTATATATAGTTAATTATGACATTCTAGTCTGTTCACCAGTTCACTGATGACCTCCCAGTCACCGCATGCCCTCGCATGCACCCCCTTGATCGATTATCCTGGGTCAACTTTCAACTAACGCGTCTGAATACTAAAGAGCGCGCAGAGGACATGGGGGTGGGTCGAGAAGAGCGGAAGCGGACCCTATTTTTCAAACGACTGTTCTGATGAGTTAAAGTAGTACGCCGCCAAAGAATACCACAACCGCTCGCTCGAGCACATTCGCAAATGAGTAAAGCAGACACAGTGCTGATAGTGAGGCCCGATTCATGTGGACAGTGAAAAAAGCAACCGTGCATCAACAAAAGCGCACCTGGCGTGCCATATGGCCAGTTACTACCTTGTACGGTTTACAAACCCCGAACAGAATGGTAAAAGAAATGCATGAGATTGCAGCAGTATCCAACTACTAACAGATGTGTGTGAAATGTAAAGCTTGTACACGAAGGTTTTTATGCATGAGATCGTAGCATGTACGTACTATGCAAATTGATGGCAGATAGGTGCCAAATGTAAACTTGTACACGGCATGTGCGAAGTTTGCACAGTGATCAACAGGAGTGCAGAGGTATGTAGGAGATGGTAGATGTATGCATGTACAAGTGGTAGTCAAATGTAAAACTCACTAGCAGTGCACTAAATGCTAGTATAGCCCATACTAGCTGGTGCGTGTAGATTGTCAGTGCAAGTGTAGAGGTGCGTGATTTTGCTGTTCGTCTCTCGCTAAGGACATTAGGACCCCGGACCACGAACTAAGCCGACTGCAGGTACGTACATGAATTTTAGAATTTTCGCCAAGTCAAGTTCCGAAGATCCGTCCGGCTCTTTCAGGCTGCTCGAAAGGCGTGAAACAGATGTCGTGGGAAAGCGTGAAGCTTCAGCGCAGAGACGCAAAGAAACCAAGAAGGGGCATACCTGTTCGAAATGGGTGAAACAGAATCTGAAACTTCGTAGGAAAGTGTGAAGCTTCAGCGCAGAGACACAAGAAGCCAATAAGGGTGTACCTACCCAAAAAGGGTAAAACCGAGCGTCATGGGAAAGCTTGAAGCTTCACTCAGGTAGAGACGCAAAGGCTTGATGCTTCATGAAGCATCAAGCTACAGACGTCAAGAAATTAGACACGGTGTGTGTTTTATCACATACCTTTAAGCATCAATATGACACTATAGCCTGAAGCGAGTCAATGTTCTAAATCCTATCATCGTTTGCATCATGATCAGTGACCATATTCCCATCCCCTGATGTAGGCGGCGGCAGTCATTGGACCAGTTGACTTCTCGTCAACATGCTGCAGCTCCGCAAAGTCGAGTCTTCTTCTGGCCCTTTCAAGATGACATGTTTTAGTATGTTTCATATTCAAAAATATAAGACATACCAGGTGAATGGTGAGAGAGCGAACAATTGAGTTTCGAGATAAGTGAGATAAGCTGATTTAGGACGTTAAGGCTAACATGCCACGAATCAGTGAGACATCGAGGCCCCGGCCGGCGCTGGCGCCGTTAATTTAAAAGTGAGTTACCTGTTTGCTGTAAGTACTGTCATGATACGTTCTAACTGATATGATCTATGATCAATGCAGTAGCACATGTACAGTTCCTCATATGATAATCTGAATCACAAGTGGAAATTGAGACGAGGGTTTGGGCGGTTCTGTTACTGATATATAACCTTACAGCTTGTGAGCGTTTGAACCTTGGCTCCAGACACGTTTCTAGTAGCCTTAGCCTCATACGCCATTGATCAAGGGCTACAATGTTATCCTTCCCAGACGGCCTGCGTCTCACCACAGCAAGGGTACCACTCACCTTCGCTTCTTGTGTCCTTCCACCATTCGTATGCTACTTCACCACAGCTATTCTTGTCATGCTTCCCCGAACCCAGCTAGTCCGCATTGTCTTATGGCCCATCACAGCGATCCTCGCTTTTCGCGCTGCGACGTCGCTAGATGTGTCCATGGGGCAACCGAAACCTGACTTCTTGAATGTGGTGCTTCAAGTGAGTTCCCGTCGTACTCGCATTAACTGCTACAGGGTTGAACTTATCCTTCAGCTATCCATGTTTTATATTGCTGTACGCACCCTTGAATGGACGGTGCAGACAAAATCTTTTATTCGCATGGCTCGGCGATCGTCAAAGCAAAATTCCGTGCTCGACATACTTGATTTGGTGTTTAACGTTCGAGGTTGTGGTTGGAACTGGTCGCAGGGACTATACGTCCCGCCTGAGATACATCCTACATCCTCACGATTAGCCTTTGCTACGTCCAACCTCGTCTCTGGTCTAAAGCACTTTTTTCTTTGCGTTACGATTCACTCTGCCGTGCAGTCTTTTTCGCCAAAGACGTTTGGTTCTGTTGATGGTGGTACCATCTTTGACCAATCACTTCCCCTGCACCTCCGTTATCTACGATCGAGCATCATCGCAACGCTATGCGCATTCGTCATCTATTCAGCACTCCAAACCGGTTATGAGATCACTGTAGCTCTTTGCGTACTGTTATTGAGGGCAACATCCAGACCAATGCCCCCCCTCATTCGACTCTCCCTGGCGCTCCACTTCTCTCAGAGATTTCTGGAGCCGACGCTGGCACCAGTGGTTACGTCGGCTATTCATTTTCGGTGGACGCCCACTTTCTTTGCTCTTTGGGCGCGTCGGGAGTGTCATAGGCGCGTTCCTCGTCTCTGGCATTTGGCACCACGTCGCACTATCCGCCATGGACCCGTCCTCGGAGATGTGGCGCATGGTGGTGCCATTTGGAATGATGGGCGTTGGCATGATTATCGAGCGTGCTGTTGCGGGGCATAAGACAGGTGGCCGGATGGGATGGATCTGGACAATGTGCTGGATGGGGTTGTGGGGAAACGTGATGGTGGATGGGTGCACGAGAGCTGGGATGTATGGGGGTTCGAGCATTTTGGGTAGTGCGATGCCTTTAAGACGATCGATCGAGCAGTTGGTGAGGGCGTTTGACGATTATCTACATGCATGTTAGCAGAAAATCGCAGTGGTAAATATTGATCGAATAGCCGGTACTAATAATTGTATGCAATCATGCTCAGTGTCACATGATACTCTCCGATCTCGAGGTTTTAAGAAGGAAAAGGATTAGGCCAGGGTGAGGTGGTTGGTTGGTTGGTTTAGAATGAGAATGAAAAACCAACATGATAGGTTATGGTAGATGTGAGAGATGGATGAGGTTTAGGAAATGAGGAGTGTTTTTGGCGCTGTGTGCCGTCGCTTAGGCCTTAGGGTTAGTTCGAAGTCCGCTGGTGGCTGACCTTTGTTTACAAATGTTATCTTCCAGCCAGTTCAACAAACGATTTACACCGTGATGCATGATCCCTCCTCTTGTTTGCGTTTTTGCTGGTGCATTTTGAAAGCCGAGAGGAACTCCGAAAGAACTGCACACAATCAGAAGGCGCTACAATCAAAGAAGGGTCCGTCCCCGAAAAATAAAACATCTCATCTTCTGCGCTCCTTCATATCTTGTCACACCAAGCGTTCTGTCTGGGCTAACATCTCGTCAGTCAATGTCAATGCCTACCTAGCTGTTGCCTGCGTCACAGCAGTCGGTGACATCCCAGCCACCTTTCGTGGTCAGCTATCGACTTTTTATCACTTACAGCTTGCCTGAAGCTTTGCATTCTAGTGCCTGCGTCAGCTCCTTCCCCTCACTTTTTCCGATGCTGACACTATCCAATACCTGCAGTTTGATATACCCTCGCATACGCCAACATCAATTGCTTCTCCGTCTTAAGTACTCCATTATTCTTTCCCTTCACAAGTACAAGTTCCTCGATATGCCTCGTCTTAAGTGTCATACAACAAGTACCCTGTTCCGTCTCAACAGCGGCGGCCACCAGTGTCGTTTCAGCTTCGGGCCGCAGTACCAGGAGACCACCTTCATTTGAAGGTTTCGTGGGACATAGGAGAAACAGGCCTCTCAACGACAGAAGTATCAGCAATTATTGGAAGCAGCATGGGGTGTGGTGTTTAATCTATCGATCAGCACCTCGGGGATATACTGGGTAACAATAGGGAGATGTGGAACAGACGTGGACTGGGATTTATATCCTCAAACGTGGCATCGAATCTCCTTTTCTTTCCAACCTTAACCTTGTTTTTTCCTCGCTTCAGTTTCTGTCTATGTGAAAAACATGTTCGTCATGTCTGACGTGCCTTCATGTCGCTCCTTGTCAGGGTCATCCCCTCGTTATCGCAATGTGATGTACAGGTCTATGAGCACCGTGACATCTACGTAGACTCGCTTCTGTTTGTCTCGTCACCTTTTCATCCATCGGTAGCGTTGATGCAAGTGATTTGATAATTTGAGCGATACAGTGAGTGTCTAGTAGCCTCCCTGGCCCGGGCGGTCGTAAAGAAGGTGGAGGGTAGGGGTTGCATGTAGTTACTATACTGAAGGGCAGTTGTGGACGATGGTTGCAAAGCTAGCGTGATACCTATTTCTACCACCTCAAAGAAGGCCAAAGGAGGCGCCAACATGATAGATGAATAACTACACTAGCATGCACCTCATCATGACCCCAGATGATTGATGACCGCTGGTATAGTATCCTGCCCGTAAAGATGAGAACACCGGATGTTTGAGAAGAATTATCACATACCTCAAGACTAAGGTGAATGACCTCTGTAGATGACGAGTATGAACTCGATCACATTTTCAAAGGCTGCGGAGCTCCGGAGGTCGTACTCGGACACCTGAAGAAAAAGGGAGGTGCCAGTCGAGTCTTTATCTTCGGTTAACTGCTGTAGCATCCTGGTAACTTTGTCTCCTTGATGATAGTCGAACAAGCGGCTAGATACACGCTGCCCCCTTTGCCGCCATGCAAAGTCGAACTTGAGTCCGGGGGAATCATCTTGGACTTTCGTTTGAAATGACTGATTACAGCATGAAAGATCGGCGCCAATGAGCTGGTGCACTCCAATGTAGTCTTCACCAATCGGTAAGTTATATAGTTGGGTGAAAGCGGTCACTCACTTGACAGCTCCCTATCGAGTACCGCTGAAACAACGACAGCACAAATCGGATTAGGGTTATCGCGGTCGGCAGTGACCGCAACTGAAAACTCGACGATTTTGGATTTCCGAGTAGCGGAAATGACCTTCCCTTTAATTCTGGTGCACGGTTGATCAGCAGCAAGAGCTGCTGCTTGAACCTTGGGAAACCACGTCTCGTTTGTAGCCTAGCTCCATTTGTCTAGAAGGAGAGCTGCCATTGCTGACAGCCCTGCGTTTCGCTCGAGAAGGTATGTGACAATATGTTCCAGACGTCCATCACGAGTAACGTGTAGTACTGTTCTGGCAGTACGGTCCTGCAGAGAAAGATTACAAAATGGTTCAACGAGCGCTTTTACGACAGGTAGCAACTGGTGGAATAACCGATTGGGGTCAAACGAAATGAGATAATGGAGAGGGGTGAAAATAGCGACAGTGAAATTCACATCTGCACCACGTTGACGAAATTTGCGGATTGATTCATGCGATGGCGTTGTCGCCCTAACAGCCATGCACAGAATGTTGCTTGGTAGGTCGACCTTCAATTGTGACAGCAGGAAATCCACGGCGACTTCGCTTCCAGTCACAGCTGCCCACGAAATTGGAGCATGGGAGCCACTAATGTATTGGTGACACAAATAAGGTTCGAAGGAAGAAAGCTTGTTGAGATCGACGCCCACCTTCAGGAGAACACTGAGGCAGTCGGGGTTCTTGGCTATGGCGAAAATCAAGGGAGAACCCCAACCAGGGACAGTATCCGCGTCCAGTAGATGGGGGCGCTGCTTGACGGTGAATTCGATCATCTATAGCTTCTCATGTTCAAGCGGAATGAACAAAAGTGAGGGAAAAGTTACAGCAGCACTCAGCCACCTATCAGTAGTAGGTTCAACGATTTTAAACCCAGGCGTTTGTTTTCCAGCACGTTTTGATTTGCAAGTACACGATGTTTTTTGATGTTAACTCTGAGTTCAGCCGTGACAGGGCATCCATAACGCAAGGTTCCTCATCCGACACATGTCCAAGGTCCTTCCATCCTAGAATTGCATAGCTTAGCAACGGATGGTCTTTGCTGACATCCGCAACTTGAACATCAGCACGGCTTGCAGAAAGCCGATGTCGCAATGCCGGATGTGTGCCTATACAAACATCAGTTTCTTAGCTCATATACGTGAAAGGTAGTATTGCACCTTCTGCGCATATCTCATCCACAAAGTCGCATAACACATACATTATCAAGAGCTCGCAGATGCGTGCGTGCATGTCTGAGATCGATTTGAGGATCTTATTAGGGCGACTGATCAAGTATTCCTAGTTGTGTAGCGCATCAGCGGACGAGTATGATGAAGAAGATTGATAAGTCATACTTTGACACTATAATGGGATAGAGCGATGATCCTAGTCCTCTCGTTGTAGGTCACAAGGCTTCCGCACGCGGCCACGATATCCATGATGTCCGTAACGCCAAGGTCCTCATTGAGACTCGGCCGCCCAACCTCGATCGTCATCGCTTCGTTGAGCTGGTCAAGCGTCAAAGGGGTGAATGCGCCAGCCAGCAAAAGTAAGCAACGCTGGGCAATGGTCCTGTCATACGTTTCATATAGTCCTGCTGGAAGGTCGTCGAGGGCTTTCCGAATACTGTCGGGTCTTTTACACGTTATGCTGACGTCCAGTTGACACTGAACCCAGCGAAACCTGCGTGTGATAATATGACGATGAATTTCCGAAGAACGAGCGCAAACTCATATACTTACATGCCCTCAGCCTTTTCTAACAATTTCTCCAAGACTGTCTTCTTCAGCGCGTCGGATAGACGTGACAAACGCTTCTGATTCTTCAGCTGCTCCGTAATGTGCGCGCATATATCTGCTCTCACCTGTTCTGTACTGTCCTTCAACGACAAGGTGGGGAGATCACGAAAGGCGTCTTGAATGTCTGGCTCGCTTCTACCGGCGACGAAAAGTCGTAGTCGAGCATCTTCGGCAAGGTTTACAAGACGTCCGACCAGGTCGGGGTAGTCCTTACATTGGTCCAAGGCGTCAATCACGAGGACTGGTCGGTGAGCTAGCGTAGACACTTCAACAAGAAGCTTTCGTAGAAATCCCAGATCTACAGGACACGGCTTTGCATCACGTTTTTGCTGCCAGAGGTTTCGCAGAGAATCAAGGTCCCCTTTCGTGTTGGATTCTTGCTGTTCGCCTATCTTTGTGATCCAGTCATCTTTAGATTGTTGAAGCAGCTGAACAATCTCAACGACAGCCGAGCTGAAGTATCACAAGTTAACGTAGGCTCTGAAAGCTCTCCAGACGAGTCTAAACTTACGCAAGGATCGTCTTTCCGTGGCCAGCTGTTGCGAGATTTAGTGACCTACAATCAATGGCAAATGATAGAGCTAACCCTGGCCATTCAAGCATAGGAATGCGCCTTCTGAGTTGTTCCAAGCCACAAACTGACCGTTTTGGAAAATCCAACGACGGGTTCCGGGGTTGCGCTGACCACAGGAGACAGCGTGCTTTTCAGTACAAGACAGAGAGTTCATCCATTCAAGTAACTTTCGACGTTCCTCGGCTATGTATGCTTGAACAGGTTGAGGAGGAAACTGAAAGTCAGCGACTCACCTTGTTCGCGCACCTTTTGAGCAGCAGAATCCTTCCTAAATTCCTCGACTCCTCGATTACCCTCCTGGAGTGTCCGACTGACTTGCTGGAGTTCAAGTTTGACTTCCTTGAGCGTGTTCCTTGCGATGGTATTAGTATTAGCGATCTTCACAAGCAAGCAAGATCACCATGTGTCGATTGCTAAAATATGTGTGATCTCGTCACAGTAGGATTTCAATCTATCGATGATTGCGCCTGCTGCTTTTTCCTTGAATGGCCACGTCAATCTGGAAATCGTCTTCATTTTCCCGCTTTCCCGGGCCTGTTCGTTTGGCAGAATGCTCTTCAGTTCTACCAGCAAATTTGCAACTGGTCCGTCTGTGGCCATCAATTTTGAAAGTGCATGGCGGAGATTGGGTGGAAGAGAGTCGTCCTTCTCGATTACCATAACTGTGGTGAGGACGCCACCGACTGCGCTGAGCTCATTAAGCGGACTCTGACAGGACGAGTCGGCGTTGCAGACGGAAGCAACATATCCATATAAAAAAGCTGAAGCTTGCGCTACTGTTTGAATGACCTGAAGAACAGTGAGACCGCTGGTGATGGGATCCATCTGAACAGCGGAAAGCGACTCGGAGACCAAGCACCACAGCGACTTTAAATTAAGGAAAGGCGCTCGATAGTCCATTTGCAAAGCTGAGGTCTTGCAGGGACCCATCGAAGATCGATAAGGATTGATATGAGACATACGAGGAACTACATAGATCTTCTTGAGTATCATAGGGCAATGTGATTGAGCTGCAGGAATAGAAACTTTCGCCCAAGATCTAGTAGCCTGAGAGCCTCGATGATCATCAACATGAAGCTCTGAGGAAGCACCATGACGCACCATTGATTTGCGAGGTTGGGAGTACCCTGAGCCTTTTTGAGTTGAACGCCCCCAAAAGGGTCCTTCAATTGCTGACGTCCAGAAGGGTGCATCAAATCCGGGCCTTCTCGAACTACGCCTCACACGCTCTTCCAAGATTTGACCTCTCCCACCTAGGCTCATTCACCTCATGCCCTCGCATGCACCCCCTTGATCGATTATCCCGGGCCAACTTTCAGCTGACGCGTCTGAATACTTAAAGAGCGCGCAGAGGGCATATGCGGGTGGGTCAAGAAGAGCGAGAGCAGACTCTATTTTGCAAACGACTGTTCTGACGAGTTAGAGTAGTACGTCGTCAAAGAATACCACAACCGCTCCCTCGAGCACACTCGCAAATGAGTAAACCGGACACAGCGCTGGTGGTGAGGCCCGGTTCATCTGGACAGTGTAACCCTGGCAGCGGCGTAAGTTCATGGCAACCTGTTATCATTCGGACCTTTCTCGGTTCCTTCGAACAACCTCAAACCCTGAGCGAAAAAAGTCCGGACACCCTCACGTCATTCACAATGAAAAGACCCCAGACTCTGTTCAACATCTTCGGTTCAGCTGAATGTCGTGGCCGTCACCGAGCAGATGCGCGGCGGAGTTGTCGCGCATGCGCAGCTATGGTAGCATTTGTGTTTGTGACAGAGTTCAAATACTGACATGGACACTGGACAGGGAATACTATTACCTGTGATACGACGACGACGACGAATAGACACATTACGGACGGCACCGCCTCGCTGGGGATGCACCACTGCTGAACTTGGAGCCGCAATACTAAACCTTCGAAGTACGGGAAAAGCTTGAGAAGATGCGCTTTTGACGATCGAGTGGCACAGAGCATTGATATTCACGCGTCACTGGGCATTGGCACTCGTGATCGTGATTCCACTCATACCTACCGTGCATCGAGAAGTATCACTCGTCAAGGTGTGCATCTTCAGTCACGCCATTCAAATCTTAACAGTGATTTGGCCCTATTGCAGCGCCGCCATGTCACGCAAAATTCAGTGGCACGGCCTGCAGGCAACGGACACCAGGCTCAGCACTGCGGCTCCCAACATTACACCACACATCGTGATGCACTGCAGCAACCAGCGCCTCAAATAACCATACCATTCACGCCAACGCCATCCTGCACGCTTGTTAATGCCCTTCGACCAGATATTAGAGGAGTACCGCTGTACCGGAGCCGTATCTGCGGCCGCAGCATACTATACGCAATCATATCACTGCACTCGACTCGTTCCACCCCACTTCCCCGATGTTACCGTCTCACAGCTCGGTACTCTCGATGGCGCACTGTGTAGATGATGATACCCTAGGCGCCACCAAACCTCAGTCTACTCAACCTACAACAAGACACTCTGACCCATTTTACGGCCGTAAGCAGGCTTCGCGGCTGTGTGCTCTTCATTACCCATTTTTTGCTTGTCCAAAGTGCCCCCCTTCTAACTCACGAGTAAGGCTCCCCCATATGCACTTCATCGTACGAAATTCCATTCTTCCGTAACTTCCACCGCTCTCGTCCTGCTCCAGAACTCGAGGCGCGCTTTATTTTACGGTAGCTGGATACGCGCCCTCAGTGTATAAGACTATCCATCATATAATTGTATTCATTGATGTACTAGATGCTAGGATACAAATAACACAACGTCCTAACGAGGTGTAAGTGCCACATCATCGACAGGAGTAACGACTCAGAAGGAGAGACGCTAACAAGGAAAAGACGGTAGCGCGGGGTTGGGGAGGGCGGGAGCCGGCGTGTGGAGAGTGGGGAGTTGAGGATTATACACTGCTTGGTGATGCGGCTGCAACATTAACTTGAAGCGAAGATGTTGAGCAGAGTCTGGGGTCTTTTCATTGTGAATGATGTGAGGGTGTCCGGACTTTGTGTGCACAGGGTTTAAAGTCGTTCGAAGGAACCGAGAAAGGTCCGAATGATAACAGGTTACCAGGAACCGCAGCGGCGTCGCGTAAAATTGATGGCAAGCGCCCATTGGCCTATTTGTAAGAGTATGTGGTGCCCTGTTCCAACTCGGAGCCTCATTCGGTTCCGACATTTGATAACATTCAAATCCGAACATCCGAAGCCCGAAATCCCCCAAACACCATCGCGTAGCATATAAAACAGATTATTCACTGGAGTATATATATGTAAGACCTATGAGCAACGTTGCCCACATTCCCCTAGTAGAATGTGGGCGTTTAGTGCATTTCGAACAAGTACCTTGCTGCATCCATCACATGTCTCCATCATTCCAAAGCTATCTTCGCGGCTAACTCACTTGTTTTACGGTGAAAATTCGGGAGGGAGTTTTCGGGTGTATCGCTGATCTGGGGCGATAATGCACATCTCTGCGGGGATGACTTCGTCGCGATCCTTAGAGCCAACTTGGATGCCAATGATATTCGGATATTCTATTCGGCGACCTCAAGCTTTCTTGAAATAGTCCTGCATTCGCTGTAAGAAAAGTCGTTATGAATGTAATCAATATCGAAACATACCTTTACCGTAGTGTTTTCGAAATCAAAGTTGCCAGCGTTGGGGACTAAGCCGCGAATCTTCTTAAGCCCCGGCCGGCAGATGAGCGTGGCGGAAATGCCCTTGAAAAAAACTCTTCAACTGCATAAACTGCTGCGGTTGATGGTTGAAGATTGCCCTCGTCTCTTTAGGTAGGAAGAACTGGGGGGCGGGAAGTAGGGATTCGGCAGAGGAACATATTGTGGTGGTGGATGGTATGAACGAGGCAGATCTTGATGGGAGGCCAAGGATCGAGTGCACGGAAGATAAACAAGCGAGTGGTGATAAAGATAAGCCAGCGTGCGCAACTCGTTGATTTTGCCTTGATGGACAGAACGAGAGGGAGGTCGATGGGGAGGACAATATGATGGGAGGACGGAGGACAATGGGGAGGACGATGTGGAGGACGATGTGGAGTACGATGATGGAAGGCAAGGAGTACATAAGCAGCCTGTGCAATTTTCAATAGGAATTAACCGAGAATTAAGATACACGGACCGGTTCCGTATGTTTCTGGGGTCTCTCGGTTATAACTTACGGTATACTGCTGGTAACTGAAGGCCATTAAGCGTAAAAGCCCCGAGTTGGAACAGGTCACACATCACCGTATTTGTAACTCTGAAGACCCTGCCAGTGCATTAGCGCCTATTGAAGATGATCGATAAGACTGATATAAAGCACATGAGCACGAATCAGGAGCCATAAATATCTCCCGAGAGCAACCCGAGAGCCCAGGTTATTTGAGGTTATTTGCGGATACAATTTTTTTGCTATGGGCCGACCTAAAACGGTGATATCGTGTGGTATCACAAAGAACATATATACTACTACATTGCTACAGTGGGTGTGGAATATATATATGTATGAATATATTATACTAGACTATGGAAGCCAAGATGTAACAATCTAAGAACTTCGAGGCCGAACGATGACAGCGAAACGATCAAAGCAAGTCGACAGTGCAAGTTTGTGCAAATTTTTAAAGCTAGACGTGTTAGCGAGGCAGAGAGAACAAGGTATCAGACGTCACACCACTCCCACCGGAACAGATGGCATACAATGGACGACTTTGGAGAGAACTTGAAGTCAGGCTCACTCATGGTATAGGAATCATTTCTGACTCTTCAGGCTCAAGCGGTGGCCCAAGGTGTATGCGAAGAATGAGAACACCGTCCTCTAAGGCGACGGATACGTCTTCCTTCTGAAGAAAATGTGCACTTGAGCCGCAGAATCGTAGGGGAATTCGGCCTACTCGCCTTGGTATCATAACGAACGGGAATTATCCTGCGGAACTTGCCATACTTGCGTTCTTTGAGTGCGATCAGACCATCTGGAAGTGGTTGTCGGGATTCTCCTGTGATCGAAACTTGTTTCACACACCGTTCTGGCATCTTGATAACTCGACCTTCAGGTCGCTCTTCTTCACTCCTGGAAGTTCAAACATTGCCGTTGTCACTCTACTCTCGCTGCAAAAGAAGTAATCGGCTCTGGGTATAAAAGTCGCGTTGGATGGTATAGGGGGGATGACGTGAGACGGGCTGATGATGGCGGTCCTACAATAAGATTAGGAACACATAACTTGAGTGGATATCAATGCACGACCGCTCACCTGTGTAATGAGGTAGGAGCGTGTGTTTGGGCTGCTAGCCCCGACGGATCTGGTGTGTGACTGCTACTTGAATGTCTCACGTGTGGATTTGATTCATTCTCTCGTCTTGGGTTCGCACTCTGGGGGCGACGATATGGATGCACCATATTGTGTGCGGGCGGTAATTTCGCTCGCACCGGTCCGACTGAATGCACACCGCTAGCAGACGGTGTGCCAGAAGGCGGACTAGTGCCAGCTGCCATATGACGCGTCGTATCAATGTGTATATGAGGTCTCATATCTTGGGACATGACATTTCGTCTTCTTGAAGAAGTCCCTGACGCTGATGACACATGATGCAGGTGCTGTGGGATCTCACTGCGGCGTTGACTTGGAACAATGGGTACGTGCTCTTGAAGCTCAATCATAGGCGGCGACATGGCGTATACATTTTGAGGCTGTTGCTGTGGATTCAAAGCGTGTTGAGCAGGCTGATCAAGCTGCTCTGGAATGTTGTTGTCGAGCTCTGTCGTCTCCCATGAATATGGTGTTGGGGGCGTTGGGGGCATTGACATATTTCCCTGGGTGTATGGGTACTGGTAAGACATTGAAAAAAAGGGGCGATGCTTCCCCGACGCGTTTTTATACCGAGCCCGCGCGTGACTCAAAAGCTTCCGCGGATCCGAATTATGTGTCACGGCGGGAGGACCCCGAAAATCTACAAACAAGACTCCTATCTTTTTGGCGTGAAAAGGTGGTAACGGTATGTCATAAAAATCCCGCGAAAAGTGTGACTCACGAAATGACCATCCATCACGAATAGACCGTAACCGATGGTAGAGACAGAGTTTTTAGGAGAAAGTAAGTTGTTGAGGTCTGCCGAATACAGTGTTCGTAAACTGCTGCTCATCTCCGTCGGTGTGCGGGGTCCTAACACGAGAGGCGGTGTACTCCCATATACATAGCACATTGTTCGAACTCTTGGGACGTGGACCACAATGGCTGATGAGCATTATTACATACATGAGTTTTCCAGTAGCAAAGATAGCATAAAACGATGTATGGTAGCGTTAGAAAAGTCAGAAAGAAAAGCCTACGAACTTTCATCTGGACTGTCAGCCCTCCACTGCCGCAGGTACCTCCGATGACGTGGCTGCAATGCTTTGACTGTCACGGCGAGACCGAGGAATCAACTGCCCTGTCTCCGCGACGCGCGCGCCCCTCTCAACACTCTCATGTCTGCTTCGACTCCTATTATTCCTGATTGGGTCCGCGAAGCGACGCTCAATGTTTCCTCGTGCGTTCGAACTGCGCCTACTTGGAGGGACCACAGGAGACAGTGAGTGGTCGCGATGTGGTATGTACGACACCACAGGTGATCCATATGAAGAAGACAGCGATGGCGGTGGCACCGAGGGATAGGACAACATATGAGGAACAGTGAATGTTGATGGAGGATTTGACGTCAACGAAGCAGACGATGGTGGCGTCGTCATATGCGTCCCATTACTGACATAACTTGTAGGATTTGTGCCGACAATAGGCGAGAATGGGAATGGTGACTCTGTCGAGGAAGGAGAGTGCGATAATGGTGTATTGCTTTCTGACATATTGTTTATTGGGCGCCGTATCGAGGAGGAAGGTCGGGGGATAGGGACACCATGGATTGCTTGTGAAGGCTGCGTCACAGATGTACTAGGCGATGACAGATTGGACACAGATCGTCGATGTGTAGGCTGCGAATACGGATCTGCCGAGGACAGGCCAACAAGGTTGTCGACTGACAGACCGAGCTTGAATATGAGAAGGCACGGTTGAATACACAAAAGACAGATCAAAAGCCAGTGCTCACCCGTCTCCTATGTTCAAGGAGCTCTTCGCGATACACCTCGTTTAACCGCGATACTCGCACATAATCTCTTTCTGTGTCAACTAGGCGGTTACGCAACTGCTCGTTTTCCCGTCTCATGGCTTCCAGCATGACTTCTGCACTTGGGACCATAGGGTCCCGACCAGCTATAAACATCGGAACTCCCACACTGTGGTCTGGGGGAGCAGTGATCCCATTTGTCCCAGATTGCTGTTGCTGTTGTTGTTGCTGCCGTTGCTGCTGAAGTCGAAGTGCAGACAATTCCCGACTAAGCCTATTTACGTGAGATTCCGACTCTGCCTCGAGCACGTTTTCAAGTTGAATTTTCTCCTCCCGAAGCTGTGCACGACATGGAATAAGTCACTTTCAAAGAGAGAAGTGACCCCTTACATACCTGCTCGAGTTTGCGAGACAATACGTTGATGATCCGTTCTTCCTCTGCTTCGTAGGCATTGATGAGATCTTCTTCTCGCTTCAGGCTGCTGTTTGAGCTGGTGGTGGACAGTCGTCGGATAGGAGAGTCCCCCATGATGTCGAGCTCGCTGTACATCTGATACCTAACTACTGAAGGCTCTGATGCTACGCCTGTTCAAATACGATGAGATGGTGGGTGTTGACTAAGGAAATGGAAAGAAACGCTGTGGATTGACAGCTAATTGGGCGGAAACTTATCCTCCGGATGGCTTAGAAAGGCAATCATGAACCTGGTGCATTGTGGAACGCCATTTTTCGCCTTCACATCATTAAAATTAATCTTAAGCGAAGCGAAGCATTCACATGAATCACAATGGAGGTATCAAAACGGTATGGACAAAGAACAAGAATACTAGTGATTAAAAGTCATATCCCTCCACCTTAAACGTCTTTCCATATTGAAGGTAGCTATCCATGATTTTCAGGATCGGGTCGGGTAAACCCATGCTCAGAAGAGTAAACGAGATCTTGGCATGACCATGAATCTGGCCCAACTTGAAGAAGCACCGCGCAATCAGCGTTGGATACTGTAGGCAAGGTGAGCTAGTTTCCTAGACAAAGGGGACATCACGTACGGTCATCTCCGTATAATCAGCATATTGGTATGCTGCTACTCGTATCGCAGCCTGAATTGTGCGCGTGATGTCTCCTTCTTCGGCATACATTTCTAAAAGTTTCGCCCATGGCTTTTGGGAGTAACGCGAAGTGTCTAGGCATCGCTGATAAGCCTCTTTAGCCTCCTCTTTGTGGTGTAAGCGTATGCCTAGGTCTCCGAGGATCTCCCATTCTAGGCCAGTTTTCCGGTATGCAACGTGCTGTGTTTTGAAATGTGCGACTTCTGCTCGGAAGATAGTCCACACCCGCAAGTCCTGGGAAGATGCGTTGTATTCAAAGAACGACCTGCCAGTTGTGGAGTGATTCTTACCTCGTAAAGGACCATAAACAGGTTATCTAGCCACCGCTCACACAGGCGCTTGTTTGTGAATGAGAACGTCTCCTGACTGGAGTTTGACAGCTGCGATGGCTCAGGCTCCTCCCCGGCAGCCTGCACCGGCTTCTCGAGTGTCATGCCTTGCACGCTCGCTGACTCTGTTGCCTCGTCCTGTTCCGCAATGCCATTACGAGTGGACTCTGCAATTTCGCGTTCTGTGTCAGATTCTGAGGACACACGGATGATCGGGATGGCGGAAACATTCAGCCCATTCTCAAGTTCGGGCTTGCTCTCTGATTCCGAGAGGGGGCTGGACATCCCTCGTGTTGACGCGTCATCGTCTGCGAGCGTTGCACTCCCCGCGGTCATAGAGCCATCCTCGTGGATCACTGTGACGTTTTTGTTCACATCTCGTGCACCGTTGCTGGTCACCACTTTTTGGATGTCTGCCTGGGCCTTCTGCATCCGGTACTCTTCTTCCATAACAAACACCACACTCCGCGTCTTCAGCAACTCGTCCCAGCCTATATCAGCAACAAGACGTGTAAGCAAGGAATAGGCCCTCGCCCACGTTCCACGAAGACCAGGCGCAGGAAGGCGAAGGAGGGCAGGATCGGCCTGAAGACACATGAGATGGGAACAGCAATATAATGTTCTCACGAACCACATCGTCATCACTTTTCGTTTTTTCGGGGAGGATGTCGCCAATCTGGCGCTGGAAAGGCAAGTGAACCTTTGCAGGTACAAGAGCACGGTGAGCATCACGTCCATTGAAAGTGAACATTGGACATGAGTTCAGCGTTAAAAGTGCCTGTGGTGGCGGTCAGTGAAATTGACTGCACTCAAGAAAGCTGCATACCGATTCGTAGTCTTTTGTATCAATGTATAGCTCAGTGAGCTTCTCCCAAGTAACAAATTCACTCGGTGCACAGTTAACAGCCTCTCTCGCAAGTTTTAATGCCCAGTCCGGCCTGCCCTTAGACCGAAGGAAATCACTCTGCACGTGAAGAAGGGTGTAAGAGTGTGGAGTATGCTTCATGGCGGCAGAGATGATCTGAACTGCCTTTACTTCCTCATCTTGTCATAAAGAATGTCAGACGGGACGGCGTCTTGAAAGAGGAAGAAACCAGCGCACTCATTCCAATGTAACTTCTTGCCAGGAGCGAGGCAATCTCCGGCTCTCGTGCAGCCAGTTTCTCAAATAAGTTAGCTGCTGGCTGACAGCGACCACTGTCGCCGAAGTACTTCATTACACCCGCAGTCAAGTGGTTAGAAACCACAGTAGCAACCTGTATCTCGGGATCTGATCCGACCTGCCATCCTATATTGGGATCAGCTTCTTGAACAAGCAAGGCCAAAAGGTAAAGCGCTCACCCTTCATAAATAAGGCCTCAGCCGCCTGCAAAAATCGGAGTTCGCCTTCAATTGTAGTGATAGGATCGAGCTTGCGGTAAGCTTCCAACCAGTAAGTCGGGTCGTCGGAGTAGAGGATAGCCCGAAGCAGCGCAGAGAGGTATGTTTCCTGCCATATTTCTGGAGTCGCTTCGTGTCTAGAGCCCACAACCACAATCAATAAGTTGATACGTGCTATAAGGGAACACGCACCGCTCGCCACGAAGATCTACAACATAGGCAACGACACCTCCTGGGATCTTCACATCTACACGGATATCGACGCGAGAGAACGCGTTGAAGCAGCTTTAACAAAGTATTCAGCATATATAGAGGTATAAATGTAGCGAGAACAAACCAATAACAGCCATTCCTGACTTTCCATGCTGTACTCTTCGAAAACCAAGCAGAATTGTCCTCGATGGAGTATGTGAGAGAATTAATGTACGCGGCGAGGGATGCTGAAGAGGACGCATCCACTCCGGATACAAAATGATATGAGCCAATCTAACCAATGGTTAAGATGCGCGTCACATATTCCAGATGTTAGAACTCACATCGCGTTGTCCAGTACGTCCTGTGCTCTTCACAATATGACAGAGGTCTGGGGGGCCAAGTTCGCGGAATGTTGCTATTATGCATGGTCAATGTTTGAATAAGTAAGGTCGAAACATGCTTGACTGACCAAGGCTTTCGGTCCTTGCTGTTAAAGCTTCTCCAAGCTCAACCTGAAACAGAGTGAGCCTGACATTGGTCCGCAGCCATGAGAATTGTGCCAACCTCGAATAGCTCTGGGACGTCTTTAAAGGACGCCGTTGCGTCCGCCATGACGATCGACGTCTATTCAAAGTAAGTTATGCTGTCAACTGGCGTACCTGCCACCTCGCAATATCAAGGACGATGTTGAAGACGCGCCATGTTTGTTACCAAGGCTGTTGCCAAACAACGCCTGTGGCTGTGCGACCTGCTTTAGGTTGAAAGTTTCTTCTTACTTCGACAGATCATATCAAATGATATCGTGGTTGAGATCTGAGATGTGATGGGCGGATCCACGCACCCATGCCCTTGCAACAGATGAAATCTTCATCTCCAGTATACCTTAAATCACAATCCTCCTCGGGAGATTGGCTGGCTTCTTTCTATCAAGGCCTATCAAGGTCTGACTCCAGGAGACTAGGAGGAAACGGTCATCTGGCCATCACTCAAGGCAAGTTCCTCAAGAAGACCGTAAGAAGGTGAAACCAGGGGTACCTCACAGTCGCTCCCAATATTAATTCACTGCCTACACCGTTTCCGCTCAACTGGCACCGTTGCACGTTGACACGCCACCCACGGGGCACTGCATACTGCTCGGTACCGTATAACTCGCCCCAAACTGTGCAGGCGCTGCTGGTGTTGACATTACTTCGTACGCTCCTATATGTGGTGTTATGAGTGCCACATACCACCTTGTTTAGGGTTTGCACAGACAAATCGTCCCAAATTCTATTATTTCAGGTAGGTGGCTCAATGACAGCTAATGACATGGAAGCGTTGGATATGTTGCAACTATAGGAAAATGAAGTTGCTTGACATGAATACCATATGGCGAATACACGTGCGATTCCAAGACAGCCATGACATCGACAAATTCAAACCCTCGACCGAGATGCTTCCGGGGCTTGCAAGAAATGTTCCTATATGCGCAGGTGAGATGCTGAGTCGCAAGAAGTATCGAAATGTCGGAAAAATAATCGCCTTTGCAAGTGCCTGACCTTCAGATAATACTACGAGACAAGACTGCAGACCCTTGAAACACCATTACGCTTCGAGTCAGGAGAGGGGATGACGATTCCGGAAACCCTTAAATATCTGCCCGAGCGTCTTGTCCGATGGATTCGGAGCCGCAAGAGATGGAGTGCCCAGTTTTGACATGCATACTTGAAGGTGTCGGAAGCTGATTGAATTCATTCTCGTGCTTCTTTTGTGAAAATCGCAAATGGCAGTCATAGCATGGATGATCCCTATATGTGGTAGGAGATGACCCTGCTGGGACATAGAGATAGAATGATGCTGAGGTCATAACTCAAGGAATGATAGAATCATCAAGAAATTTGGCAAACCCTTGGACTCCTGGATTGCCACTCTGGGATCTCATATGCGAGGGTACTAGGCTGTCCAACTGGGCTCGTACATTCAATATCTGCAGTCACTCTGGTCTGTGTGAGGTATACAGCCATTTGTTTACGTGCAAGGTCTGCAGCTACTTTCGCTCGCTGCTGGTCTCTAGCCAGTCTCTCCCGTTCCATGTTCGCAGCCACACCCATAGTCCACCTCCTGGTACGCAGCTACCCTTTCCCACTGGCATTCTGGGTCTCGACCCACTCTTGCCCGCTTCGGGTCTCCAGCCATTGCTTGCCCGCCCTGTGTCTTCATCCACTTTTGTTTGTCAGGGTCTCCAGCCACGTTCCGCGGTCTCTGAGACCACAGCCACCCTAAGCCATATCAGACATTGAAGAACAAAGTGACTCCAGTGGTTCACTGATGAAGGAGCTTTGGAAGCTCCAGGGAACGTGTAGTTGCATAACTTGACTGTGCCCCTTCAACTCTGAGAGGGTATCCAGGAAGGACGTGTTTGCTGGAATGTCATAGATCACGAGGCAGATACAGGCATCAGCGAATAGGGGTGTGGCAACGTGATGTTTTTGCACTTGAGGGAGACTCCCATCAGGAGGTAAATTTATCCCAGACCGCAGCTGCGACAGTACTGTCTCCACATCGCTGCCCTTATCAGGGTCAAGATTGTAGAGGATCTGCAAGTGCAGCCACAACAGACGAGTACAGGTGTGCCCACTGAGGGTCAGCATATCTGGAGAGCATATGATCATATAACCTGTGCCCATCCGTTCCTGATAACAGATCATTCGTTAGTATGAGCATCATCTGAAACCGGTCACAGGGATTATTGATTGTCGATAAAGTTGATCATCGTGGTTCGCCACGGTGAAACGTCTGCCTGCTTGCCTTGCCAGCTGATCCCTCAATGGCTGTTGGAAATCGGAATAGCGGCCTTGCAGCTCTTGGAAGGAATCTACAGGAAAGTGTAAGTGTCATTGTCAGCATCTGCAGCATCTAATGAGATGGTGGCAGTAACACACTCTCCAGAAGTGTTAACTAGTATCTCGCATATGAGTAGGCGGATCTCTTCTGTCTGCATGGCTTTATGAATGTGCTCTTCCGAGCGATGTGTGGATCACAGGTTCAAGGAGAGTTTGACCAAGAAGGGAAACGAGAATGGTAACAGTTTCAGGATTGCATTCATCAAGGGCATTGACAGCAAACGCCAAAGGTGGACACTCGTGCAGTCTGAACTGAGTAGCCTCCAGAGAGATTGGAGAGACAGGACCTCCATCTAGTCGTGAAGAGACTTGTCGGGTGAGATTCTCGATGACACATTGATAGCTCTGTTTAGTCCTTCCGGACAATGGGAAAATTGCTCGCAAGCTGATAGGCAAGGATCACATAGAAGTGACTGGTCATGTCACGTTTCGCAACAAAAAAAGGTTCTTGCGAGCTGTTGCTCGATATTGGTCCGTTCTGTCACTTTCAGATCTCTCATCCTTTTGGCCAATGCGAATGTGACAGTAGATTTTTCGATGCCCACTGTACCATGCAGCCAAATCATTTGACTCTGCTCCTCGCCGTCTAGCAATTCATGAATGTAGTTGAGAAGGGTCTCCTCAAGTACCATCCAAACATTTCAGGATGTGGCAGTCGTTTGGGCGATTCATGTTCAGCACCCTTGACAGTGACCTGGGATAACTTCTCCCAAGATCCTTCAGACAACTGAGACACTGTGAATGAGGTCAGACAGCAAGACGTGGGTTAAGAAAACAAAATACTGACATTGATCCCAGTCACTCATTGACTTGACAGAGGTTGATGATAAGTTGTGACACAGATTGTATAATAGAATGTGCTAAAGTCGACTCAAGAAAGCACTATCATAGTAGTGTGTAGTCACTGTTGGGTTCGACGGTGTGGTGAGAGATTATATGGGCGTAGCTATCTTTGGGGCAATGTATCAGGACATCGAGAAGTCTAAACTATAACCTGGATCTTGTGAGCTCAGGTAAGTTGTAAAGAGGTTTGAGCGGTGAAATGACAGACTGTCCGGGAAGGTGAATTCGATGGTAAATGAACTCGTAAGAGCTGCTTGCCAAGTTCGAATGGATGTGTTTTCAAATTGGTTTCAGACAGGCTAGATAGTGGGGATATGTTAGTCTCCCTTCAAGGTTGAAAGAATACAGGAGTAAGTATATTACTCACCAACCAACATCGCAATGTCTGTGAGTTGAAAGATGATATGTAGCATGTTTGTCAATTTATGTTGATGAATGAATAACGACTGGGCTTCTTTCGAGACAATAGTACAAAAGTTAAGGGATTGCAGTCACACAACGTGTTTAGATATTGGAGTAAAAAAAACTAGGGGAAGGGGTGAAGGATTGGGCGAGTATTTGAGCTGGGCAGCAAGCTCAAGCGTTGTGTCATTGCAGGTCGTTGTGCAGTAACGGGAAGTCACGCAGGACTTAATAGACGCCAATAGCACGTGCTACTGTATTGATACACGATGAGAAGAGGAGAAGTATACCCATATGGGCTTGTTTGGGAATGCATCGCTCTAGAGAACCAAAGGTATGCGATATATTCAGATGGGAGAAGAAGGTGTGTCCCAATTAGGAACGGGAGACCGAAGGTATGCAATATTTTAGATAGGAGAAGAAGGTGTGTCCCAATTAGGATGGCTGGGAATGCTTGGCATGCTGCTTCTGGGAGAATTGATACAGAGGGTACATCCTGAATAGGATAACTGGTAATACCCGAGAAGCTCCCTGGCACGAGTATTGATATAAAGAAGCCTGTATGCATACTATTGTGGGGGCTGGGGATCCTCACTTAGTATCAAAAACTATCCTGTTACTATCCCTGGGTTTGATAACTTTGTATTGATAATTATAACAGTATACCTCTGAGCATCATCCACCCGCGATTGTCTTCTTCTGTGGTCCACTCCTGTTGGTCAGGATTGGCAATTTCCCTTGGATGACGATGGGACAAGTCATGGCTAGGCCGCGCACACTTTTTAGTTGAGGGGGTGATACATGCATATGATGAAAGATCCACAGAATACGAGGAATGGACTGGAATCATATACGGTGGTGGCAGACTGCTGCATCGCCCACTGGTCCATCCGCATCCACAGCATCATCTCCTTTGACTGCTGAGTTTTTTGGCCCCTTCGTTGTCAGAAACGGAATACGCGACGCTCGTATATTTCTCGACGTTATTTGTCGTTCTGAAGAAGGTTCGTCCGCCAGAGAAGCAACTTCCAAATGAGAATCGGAAGTTATGCAATGCTGATGAAAGCGAAACTTGCACAGAAGCAGAGGGAAGAGGCAGGTGAGAGGAAGAGGAAGGGTGTTCAGTGAGTATTCTTTTTTTTCTTTCTCTCAGTTTTTTTTTGGTCCTGGAATGACTGTTAATGGACTCAAACTGCAGGTTTATACCCCAGTATTTTGAACAAGATATCAGTTCTGGAATTCCAGTTCTTACAGCTGCAGGCCGAAAAGCTGTGGAAGAGGAACTTACGGAGTGTTCTGATGCTTGGCTATCATCCCCATAGAATCAAGTCGACGCTGCTTGACCTATGTGTGGTTTGGAGTACCCACGTGTCATGTGTAGAAGCTTTGGATAGAGGTGGGGACCGATCTGGGCTTTGAGCGTTGTAGAAGGTTGGGTGCAGGCCACGATATCATGCAATTTCTTCTTAGTATCTGATGATTTTTGTTCATTAATTTTGGATGCAGTTCATGGACTTTTATGATGAGCGCTGCGAGGGTGGTTGTCCATGCTCGATTTTCTCGGTGTGGTGGTC